TTTTCCAAGATTCGCCTCAGATCGAGTTCAACATTCGGCAGGTAACCGGCTCCCTACAGTGGGCAGCTACGGTGGCCAGACCCGATTTAGCTCAAGTGACGAATTGTCTAGCGCGTGCGGCAAACCGTCCGCCAACCAAAGCAATCGCTGCAGCGTGTAAGCGTGTACTACGATACGTTAAAGGATCTTTGGGCGAAGGATTAGTTTATAGTCCCCAACAAGAGCAGGAGTTCCAGAACCTATTCAAGGACCTCTATCGCCATCCGGAGAATATTCAGATCAACGAAATGACTGAACAGGAGAAGAAGTTCGAGCCGAAGTCCTTTCACCCCATCCAGAGTTTTGGCGATGCAAGTTTTGCTTCTACGCTCGAATTCAAATCGGTTTCCGGTGTAGTCGTATACTACTATGGCTGTCCAGTTGTGTGGAAGTCCACGGCCCAGACGGTACGAAGTGGATCTACGTGCGAGTCCGAAATTGTGGCCCAGTCGGACCTTCTCAAAGTCTCGGAAGACATCCATGCAATTCGCCGCTTTCTTCGAGGTGTACCAGAAACAGGCGAGGGAGACAAGGATAAAGGACCTTTGTACTGTGATAGTCGTAGTGCTATAATTAGCTTAAAGAAAACCAACCTTAGTGACGTACCTAAAAAGAGTAGACACGTAGCCTTACGCTACATGCAAGTGCGGGATGACGCACAGCGTCTCTGTTACGTTCCAACGGGCATGCAGAGGAGTGATGGTTTGACTAAGAGTTCGACCAATGGCCTGCTTTACAAAAACATCTTCCATGTTCAAAACATGAAGAGAGACGCTAACCTTCCTACTTATTGTTTTCTGGCCTATGCAATTCCATACTAGGAAGGCATATCTTACATCTTCAAAGTCATTCAAATCGCCTGCAACAAACTCCATCTTTTGCCAAGTTTAACATCTTCAACAACAACGTCCGCGCTTGTATTATAACATTTTCCACTTTCTCAAAAGTAAGTTTTGCTACATTTTCCTAGCTTAGTCCGTATTAGCTAACAGCAAGAGACACACAGTACGACAAGCCAAAAATAATTAATGAAGAAATAAATAAACAGCTAAAGCAAGAAAAGCAAGAAGCTACTACTGACAAACTAAAAAGTAAAACCACAAAGGTGAACTACTTAAACTTTACCTTATGCCACTGGCTAAGTGTACTCACTCGACAAAGTGTAAAGCTTAGAGTATCTAGCCTTGGTAGGATTGTTTTTCCTTCTTTCGTTTTCTGCTCGGTCGCTTCAGTTTGGTGGAGGGCGTTACCTCTAACCCGTTGCGCATCGTTCAGTTTGCGTTTGAAGGGGGGAATGTCGATCCCCAAATTATGAATCATCTCAAGCATGAGCATGAAGATCATCCTACCAGTACGGAAATCAACAACTTAAAGATTTACGAACATCATGATCAAGGAAACAACAGGAACAAGAAAATCATAACGACAGCAACACGAAGATCAACACCATCAGGATCAACAACATCATCAACATCAACAACAAGATCAAAGTCTTAAGGTCTTAAACGTGTGCAGCAAGTAACAAGTTGATGAGTTAAATAGTTGGTCCGGATCTAGTTAGCTTAGGCAGATGAAAGGCACTAAGCCCCAGGGATCTTCGTACTTAACAACAACAACAAAAACCAAATATTTTGTCTTCTCAAATTTAACCTGTGCTTGTGCAGATTAGCACTAGTTCACAGGACAGGGGCGACATCGCTGAGGATGATGAAGAGCATCATCCAAACCGTAGCCATTGGGCTACCTTATGAATTATCTAATTTTGATGTTCTCCTGGCCGCAACACCAATCCCTTCTTGAGGCGACGTGGACGTCGAGACTGTACCCGTCGACGATGCGCGAGGACTCAAAGCAGCATTTTTCAATTCAAAGTCGTCTGACGCCTCCATCCTCATTAAAGACTCGTCTGACAGCATCTCTCGACGAAAAACGCTTTCGCTGGTGTTGTGCACCTGCTTCTATGTGTATCATGTGAACAAGATCGAGTAGCCTGAGGCACAAAGCTGGTGCTTGAAATCTGTTCTTAAAGACCAATGCCAAGGCCCATCTTGGCAGAACAATTGCACTTATTCCTCTTTGATGACATACTTCATAATGTACGTCGCAACTTCATGATGTACATATTTTCACCTTCGTCTGTGTTTAATTTTAAGAAGTTCATCTTCTTCTTCACCCTTTCGCCCGATTAAGTTCCGTGCTGCTGTGCTCCATCGTACTGCAGAAAGGCAGTGTGTTCGTCCTCCCCGTCAACATACTCGGCATCGTTTATGCTCAACGCGTCTACTAGTCCGCCATCTTCTCCAGGTTGACTGCGAAGCCCCCCTTCTTGCGTCGTTGTCTTCGAGCGTTTGTTGAGGAACCCCAATATACCGCTTTCGTCTGCACCTCTAGTTGTAGATTCCTCTGCCTCCGTCGTGTTGCTTTCATCGCCATATTTCTTCATTCGTTCTTGCTGTAGTTGCTGCAACTCAAGAGACTGATCAAGGAGGACAGAGCTGGACGAAAGAAGTTCGCGTCCGCGTTTATCCTCGACCCCGAAAGGCGTCTGGCGTGGCTTATGTGTGTCGAACAGGAATAACCACCACACCAGAGCGGCAAAGAAGGTGCAGGCGGATGGCAAGGCCAGGTACGGAGGAATGGTGCGCAAGTAGTCATCAACGGACCGAGCCCAAAACCTGAAAGCCTCACCAAGAGACAAAGACGGACCACTTGATGTCATGGAAGCCGATGTAGACGCAACGTCTCTGCGACCGATCCGATTTTTGTTGGGGACTTGGATCGACTTTTTGTCGCCTTGGTCGTAAATGTCTTCTTCGCTATGTAGTTGCTCTTGATGATAACTTTTTTTATCATCCCCAAGCAAATTGATGATGTTAGCAGAGTCTTCGGGGGTCGTGAATGCTGTTGCTCCTCCTCTATTTGATGTACTATAAACTACGGATGAAGGTGTAGTAGAAGGAGGAAGACTGGAAGGAGTCGCCGCAACATCATTGCGGTTACCTGGCTTCCCGAAGTGTTGCTTGACTTCTTGACCAGGTCGTGACCCTGCGTCGCTAAAGTTGTTCCAGGATGAGATGGTCTTGTTTTGAGCGAAGCTGCTGGGTCCTTCTGAGGGTGCACCAGCGCGATCCTCCGCTTCGACGGCTGCCTTCTCTTGAACCCCCTTCGAAGTTAGAATCTTCATGTCTTCAAACTTCGGGTTCTCCGCCAGCATTTTGAGAACGTCTTTCTTCTCTGGATCTCCATACCTGTACCACCAGATGGGTATCCGGAACGGATCTGCACCATCCTCATTCTCTTTGACCCATTTCTGCAACCATGCAAGGTCATCTCCCTCCGCCGCAAGGATGCCGACGATTGCGCTCCATTTGCACTCTGTCAGGAATTCGTTCGACATGGGGCACTCCTCGATCATCGAAGCCTGGTTACGTTTGCCTTTACGCTGCTTGCTGTAAAAGGCGGCCAACCTATGGCCTCGCTTCGCTATCTCGTTTAACTCCTCATGAGTGATTGCAAGATCCTCGCTGGAGTTTTCTCCTGGGAGAAACGTGTAGCCAGGCTGCGCTTGCTCAGGGCTGTCGTCCGGTTGCTTTTTGGCTTTCTCTATCTTAGCGCGCTGTTCCCGCGCCAAAGCCGCTGCGGTGGACGTTTCACCGTCTCCGCTGCCTGCGTGGTCAACTGGCACTTCCTTGAGAAAGGTGCCCCACGTCATTACGCGGAATTCCTCTTTATCTCCCTCGTGCGTCCTGCGTTGATCTACAGCTTGTTGCTGCAGCGCGTTCGTTGTGGATCCACCCAGGCCCTGAACGACGATCGCGTTTAGGCGCAAGCGCCTGCCTTCTCTCTGCGGATCCATTTTCAAGCGGTCATAGACACTTGTGTGCACCTGAACATGTTCGGCCGTGGCTCCTCTTTGGATGATCACCCCTCGGAACTCCTGAGGATAGGACGCGCCAAGATACGTCGCGCAATGTTGCGGATCCAGGAGGACAGCTGGCTCCGGCAGCGGCGTTTCCGTTTTTATGCTCTTGCCACCATGGTACACAGGCAGGTCTCCCTTGACTTCTAAGCCAGAAGGTAATAGTTGTGCCACGACAGTGCCGAGTTCCGCCGCTACTGGATGACTGCCTTCGAGGATCTGCGTAAACTGCAGATCGCAAGTGTCCTCGTGGGGCTGGTGCAGAAGCATGGGGCCTCCAAGTACATTCTTCAGGTAGTCCTGCTCCTTCCAGAGCTTCTTCCACTTTTCTGCCATGAGCTTATTTCCGTATTGGACATTTTCTTTGGGATCTTCTCTCGCATCCTCGCCAGCTTGTTGCCCTTGTGCCCTGCCCTGTTGTGCGGGTTGTTGTTCTTGCGCCTCGCGCTGTTGTGCGGGTTGTTGATCTTGCGCCTCGCTCTGTTGTGCGGCTAGGCGTTGTGCAGCTTGTTGTTTTAGTTGCTCCTCTTGCTTGTCTCCCTCAGCGAGTGCTGCCGGCTCTGCAGGGGATGTAGATGTCTTCTCGGAGCCACTATCTCCTCCGCACGAAGAACCCGGGCCACACTTCTCCGCCACAACACCTTGAGGCGTCGCAATCGCGACGATGAAGAGCAGGCCATATATTACCAAAGGTTGCCTCATCATGGTCTCAACTCGATGGTATGATCCCTAAAGGCCATATCTCGCATCACTACACATCTTGCATCTTTTTCCACATCCAGTATACAAGAAATTCACGTTAATTGAAAACAAGCATCATTTCGACGAGAATTATTCCATAGGAGCCCGACAGTCTAAACTACGATCATTGATTCAGTGTGATCAGGACCTTCTCCAAGCTCGTAATCAACAGTGAGTGAGCCTCGAATCCAGATCACTCCAGCAGTCTCGGTCTATCCACCGAACAAGACACTTGCCCGATATTGCAAAGAGAACAGAAATGGCCTGGCTGACGAACCAACATGTGAACAAAAGTCGGCAACGGACGGCTTCATGATAATGATATGCGCGAGAGAACAATGTCATGCGCGCGTCGCGCTCGACTTGTTTGCAGAAGATGTGAAGACTTCATGCAATTTATTGTCCTGAAATACTTATCTTCATGAGCATATTAATTCGGGTAATTAGTTGCGCAGGAGCATTATCAGTTAGACTATCATATGAAGATTATCATCGTTAGATTTTTTGTCAAAGGTACAAAGATCAACGGGTCTTTATCAAGGGAAATAGCAACACACGACTGAGGGGGTTCTCGAGCACAGTTATGGATACTGCGTTTATGATTTTACTTACAGTTTGGTTTATCATTTCCATATATTTTCTAGCAGTGTTGTGCGTCGACAAAGAGTCGACTATCACATGCCTCTACTGAAGTTATTTGTCATTCAATTCAATTGTCTGTAGAGATTGTCGGAAACATCCCTTGTCGCTTTCCGCCCCATATCGCTCACTAACATTTTTACTGGGGCCGACATGTTAGAAACGCGAAAAAGGAGCGACGCACTCACACACAAAAAATAGGCGTCTAATCAACATGTTCAGTTTCATTTCAGTGTAACAACTAACTACAACAAGATACTGACACACAACTCGAAGTGTAATCCACAATTTTGATACTGTTTTGTTTCAAAGGACTGGTAATGCAATGGACGCATGTCCACCTGAAGGGCAACGAGCGATCAATCTACATCTACTTATCCAAAATTTTGCGGGAGGTGACAAGGATTTGATAGGTTCTTTTCAGATGCCAATAATTTGATAGGTTCACTGTTTCATCTCCACTACATTAAGGACCTCCATCATTGGCGTTTAATCCGCAATACCCTGACGCTCCTCATGTACCTGGACGAAGCTCGGAAACGTTTTCTGTCGCAACCTATCCAATTCGGTCCGCAAGCCTTTGAGCTCTTCGTCGTTATTCGAAATGCGATCCTGCATGACCTTCCTTCGCCGCGCCTCTGCGAACCGGGCGTTCTTAGATGAGCTAAAACTCCTTCTGGATAGCAAGCGTTATCTTTTACCTGTTTTGACTAGTATGGCATACAAAGTAATAAGACGAGTTCTTGCATTTTGCTTCGTCCACTTGCATTTTGCTTCGGCCACTTCTCCTTTTTCTACTTGTAAGCAAATTGACCGTGCCGTGTCCGACTAATAAATAACATTATATCGCTAATATTGAGTGTTCCTCTAGTACGCCTAGAACTAGCTTAAAGGAACTACAGCCATAAGGTTTCCTGCTTTGTAATTCACCTCGGCTATAGCACCGCCACCCCCGATAATCTTCTTGCGTTTGCCGATCTGGTGCAGCGGTGCTGGTTCGGGGCCGCTGCCAGCTGATAATTTCTTAATCTTCTCGCGTTCGCTTACGCTAGAAACCAAATCTTCTAACTCGTCGGACAAGGACTGAAGTGAAAGGATTGTCGTGGCACCTCTTTCATAGCATTTCGCTTCTATAAATGGGGAAGTCGAATATTAATATAAATCTAAATCATTTACTAGAGCATACGTTATCTAGTACGATGAACAAAGAAAAAATCAAAATCCAAAAGGTGCAATTTTACCAGATTCAATTGCTGCAGTTTCTTTAACTCCATGCTTGTCTTCGAGTGCTTCATCTTCAAAGCGGCAACGGTTGAAACTGTTGTTTTTCCGATATGATCTAGTTTCCTTTCCAACAGTTCGATGGCTTTTTGTCGTTTCTTCTCGTCGCCGCCTTTAAGAAGTTCTTGCACGTCCTTCGTGACCTTCAAGAATTGCACATCCTTTGTCCTCTCGTTTAGATCCGTCTTCTGTAATGCAAGCATCGCCTGGTCGTAGATGACAAGGTTGATTTTCTTCCGAAATTCGCGAACGGACTCGAGAATAGCGACTTTGTATTAGAACAATAAGAAGCAAGGGAAGGTTTAATATGTTGATCATCTTCTCCTTCCTCTGTTTGGGACAGTCATAGTCAGAGTCTGTATTCTGCAATTCAAATGTGTCTGGGTGTCGGGATTGTGTGAGAATAGGAATACTTCTAGGTAGTCCCTCCCCTTTGAAGCAAGTTGATACTATGTTGTCCGAATTCTTAATTTTCAGCTCCGAGGTCGATAATCCTTCGATTCCTTCCCTCGACGACTTCTTTGTGAAACGTAATAGCGTCACTGTAATCGGTAACTACAGCAGCAGGTGGCACTTCGACTTGACCCTGTAGTTACATAAATTAGCAAAACATCAGTACAAAGACGCTCCGTTCAAGTGAGATGTTGATGCATCTCCCATTTCAATGTTGACGTACAACAAGTGTTCACAATGAAGCCTTAGAAAAAGAAACTAATCAAATTCTAAACAGTAGAAGTACCTGCTTCAGCTGTATCATGACTTCGTAATCCTCGTCCTCGTTGTCAATCATACTTTGATGAGCCCGAAGGTCGTCGACTTCCTTCTCGAAAACAGCTCGGGCTGAGTCTACCTCTCCTTGATAGTAGTCGAGTAGCTTCAACATCTCCACGTGCACTCCTGTAGTTGTAGGTTTATTGGATTTGGAGGACAAACTTAATATCGCAGAATTTAGTACTATAGCTACGAGGCTTTCCTTATACATATTTAGATATTATTCACACAATTGTTCATCGCGAGGATTTCAATGGTATAATTCTCCATAAAAAGTATATAGTACCTAGAGCTTACTTAGAGCTTAGTTACAAGTTCCTTGTACTGCTACCGTTGAGCTTTTGTATTTCGATCTCCAGCAGCTGCTTTTGGTGTTTCAAGTCGAGCATCAACTCGAAGTTAGCCTTTCCGATGCCATCCATGGAGCAATCTTCTGGAAATTTCAGCGTCTCTTCCGGCACATCGCCTAGTACTGGGACGTGCAGCGTGTCTAAATTCGTTCCGTTGTAGTCCTCCACTATCATCTCATCACCCGGCTTGAACGGGTTAAGCTTCTCCACTTTGTGCGCGAGCATGAAGCAAAACAAATGGAGGAACAAAAAAAGCAGTGTTTACTAGGGCGAATGAAAAAGCAATCAGTGGAGGAGAACAAACTGTTGAGAAACAAATGGATTTGGGTACCTAGCATCCGTGACACGAGAGGACATCTATGAGGTAAGGAAAAAGTCTTTTTTAGGACAACTAGCGATCAGTCACAATTTCCTCCATAAGCTTCGCAAAAACGTTAGCGGTGCTCGCCGCACCTCCTGGAGGCTTCGGCGGTCGCTGTCGAAAGAGCTTCAATAAGAAATTCTGTTGTTCCTGCTCCAAGGTCGGAAAATGCTCGCGGAACTTCGAGGACAGCTCTTTGTCGCGTCGTACGTGGTCTTCCATAATCCGCTCTTGCGTTCGGACCTGACAATGAAATACTCTCTCTCTTATGTAAGAGAATACCAATGAATCTAAAAACGCATCAGACTCAACAAGCAAGAACTACAAAGAATCGAACATCTTTTCATTGGTTACTGATGATGTGACAACTTCTACCCCCTGACGACTTTTTCTTGGTCAATTAAATATTACCTTCTCAGCGAATTGTTGAAGCACGCCCTCTGCTTCTTGGAGCCTTTGCTGTGCCTGGTGAATTTCCTGGATGATGAACTCCTTGATTCCCTGATCCTCGACCGCCTGCAGCAAGGCCAAAAAAAGCCTGATAGTCCACATTAGATGAGGTTGCGCAATTGCATTCTTCAGATCCGACTACTTGACTTCTTTGGTTGTAGGGGAAATAGGTCAAGAGGGCCGGTAGTAAGGAATGCAATTTGATAACCCTTAAGTAAATTTCCTGCCAGTAGTAGTGCAGGTCCGACCGATGACGCTCTCCAGCCAAGGCACTCAGCTTGCCTTCGAACGCTTCCTTCAACTCTTGCACTTCTTTTTTCAACTTCTCGAGTTCCTCGCCTAATTGAGAGCTGTAGACATTCTGTTCCTCCTTTAGCAAAGCGCATCGTTGCTCGTATTCCTCATACAATTGGACCTCATGGAGATTTTTGAGGAGGTAGTAGTTGCGAATACTAATTGATATATGCGCCGAATGAGTCGTAGCTACAGATGAAACAAATTCGTTTACCATTACTAACTTAGACTACTAGACCACTAGTCCATTTTTTCTACCTGAAGTTCCGTCCATTGTTCCGGTGGCACGTTGTCCATCCAGGGTTCCCTCTCAACGACACGCTCCAAAGGCGTCAGATCCTTATTAGTCTTCAATCGCCCACCCATCATTTGCTGCAAAGCCCTTGTGCCCGCATCATTCGTCTTTTTGGCAGATTTGTCTGCGGCCGCCTTCGCCTCTGCCTCTTTCTTCGCTCGCTCTTCAGGCGACACGTACTTTACTACGGCACAGATTAGAACAAGAAATTGAAGTGATAGTGAATGTGAATGGTTGAAGAACTAAGATTTTTTACACTGAGTAACGATTTCGTCGGCCACAGCATACTACGTGAACTAAACATAGAGGAGCGGGCAGACAAAAATCATTCTTATTCCTTCTTACAAAAATACATGTAAAAGTCTGGATCATAAGACTTCTTTTTCCTGGACCTTGAGCACCGATTCGGGTACCTCTGCTGGTAGAAGTTCCGGCTCATCAACGGTCTCTGAGCGACCTAGCTCCTTCAAAATGCCTCGTATCCTAGCTATCTTCTCCGATATATGCGACATCACTTCCTGGATTTGATGTGAAAAAAAAAGTGTATTAGGAGTAGTTGAGGGGGAGTGGGAGCAGTCAAAAGAAGGTTCAGGCTGTAACAGAATTAAGTCTTGTACGACACATTGATTCTGCTTCTTATTTCAGAGAAAAATCATCCTAGTACTTTTTTGTGTTCCTGGCATTTTTTGAACTTCTTGTTGAAGGCTCGCTGCATATCCTTCGCGAGGGTCTGGAGGAGCACGATTTGAGATTTCCTACGCATATTCGTGCCTAGCTCAAAGGGCGTGTAGACGCGGTCCCTAATCGATTTTGCGTCGTCTATTTCCTTCTGCTCTGCTTCCGTGAGCTTCTTCCCCTCTCCGCCGGCAGCGGCACTGCTCTCGTAAATGTTCTCACCACCAAGAAATTAGAAGCGGTTTTGGAAAGAATAAACCTTGCAGGTTCGTTTAGGTATGCTCCAAGCAAACGAACCTCTGGAATGAAGATGAAGAAAAAAAACAGCACTTTCTCCATCTTCGCACATCAGTTTAATGGTCATGATGTGTCACAGAAATCTATGGACGATGATTACTCAGAATTCAGATTCGCCCAAGAGCTTTCCTTCATAATAGTAATTGATCAAATATTGCCGATCGATGCCAGGAGGAACAAATTTGTTTGCATCGAGATACCAGTCACCTGCTGGGCCGTCACTGCTTGACGCCCACTCTTTTTCCAGAAGTTCGACGTCTCGCATCTGCGCTATCATGCGGATCCTTGAGTGTGGATGATAAACTGATGAAAAATAGTACTGTTGCGGAACGAACACAATCGCTACGGGTATGCATAGGGATTATTGTCAACGCGTACGCGTCTCAAGTATTCATCCTAAACTACTGGAAAGACGAAACAGAGTCAACGAGGACAGTATTATAAAACTGTTCCGTCGCCGCGCATGTAAATTCGATAAATAGACACCTGCTCGTTTCCGCTTTGTCGACTTTTCTTTCTGGATAGTTCGCAACGCTTTGCGGTCCTAGAAGACTTGCAACGATTGCTCCCGGCGACGCCATGGGGTCCCAGAATTCCTTGATCAGTCTCTGGCAGATAAGTTTTCTAGCAAGATTCTCACGCGCCACTATTTTTCGGATCTCGCCGCTCTTATCGTCTGCCTTCTTCACTAGTAAGTCTCGCTCCTCCGTGTCAATACAGAACTCCCCACGCTGGAGCCTCTCGAGGTCGGGGGCTACTTCGTTCTTGTCCAAGAACTCCCGCAAACGACGCCTAAGCGCGTCTAGGCCGTTCTGGAGCTCTCGGCGGGCCTTGTCGTTCGCTACTGAGACCTCTTCCGACTCCGCGGCACCGGCTTGCTCCTTCTCAGCAGCTTCGCCTTGGGCAGTCCAGACTGCCATTTCAACCTCGCTCTCTCCCTTGGACGCACCGCCCTCGAGTAGACTCACGTTGCGGCCCAGCCTGAGACCAGACCACGACTCGACTTCCGATGCCTCCTCACAATGTTAGAGAACGGCAGGCGCGAGAAAATTGGATAATCAATGAATAAAGATTTTTTTGATATGCAAAACTGTATGCTGATCACGAGGACAGTCGCGCTTTTACACGCCTCAGATTACCCAAAGATACCTCGTGGAATGTTCACTTAAATAGCGAACACCGTTGTATGCACCAAACAAGTTGTTCTTGAAGTTCTCACGTCATAGCAGAAGCTGACCACTTCGCTGCTGCTAGTCACCAGCGCTTGTAGTGGCGCATCCGGACCTGATGGAGGTCTCACGGCGAAGCTCCATACACCGCCACCAAACGGGTCTGCCATGTGATACTGTCTCACTGCTGCGCCTTTCCGGATTACGAGAACTACGCCGTCCATCGCCGCGGCCACCAACGTGCTGGTCGCCGCAACGTAGCTAAGAGCCGAGATTGGCTGCTCGTGCTCGTAGACGACACTTTCTGCTACTGCTGTGCCCTCCGGCACAGGTGGACGCCGCGCCCCTGTGTTGCTCGTTGCGGCTGGGGTGGCGAAGGCACCACCCATAGCACCGGTAACGCCAGCGTAGGTGGTGACAATCAGCAAGTCGTGGTCTGAGTCGTCAGGCGATTTCGCCACCTCTTCATCGTCAGGCGCGTTCTCACCCTCAATGTCACTGACCTGCTTACTCTGCTGCTTCGAACTAACGATCAGCATTAGAAACACGTCTCGAGTGCTTTGCTTGTTACGTCTCAAAAATAGACTCGCATTTCCTCTTTACCGCAAATATTCTTTGTACCATGCAGCACTCCACGAAAATAACTCACCATGCAACACTATCACAGGTCTCATCACGAACGGCCGCGAAGATGTCATGTGTCTGCCCCTGATATGATCATTCGTGATCACCGTAGCGGCCGCGAAGAATGCTCTAGACATTACAAGACATTGACTTCAATAACTAGCACTACAGTATGTACTATCAGACCATAATTGTGACCCCGCTGGTTCGCGCAAGGCGTCATCGCCGACGGCTTCTCCATCGCTAACAGCTGGCGGCAAGTTCAGGGATCCCTCTAGCAGGTCGCCGCCTGCCTCCCTTAGGGCTTGGCGCTCTAGTTCTCGCTGTTGCTTCAGAGCCTCCACTTTCACGTGCGCCTGCTGCAACTCCGCTCGAGGGACGCTTCTTATCTGTCCGCCAGCGTAGCCGATGTAGACTAGGTCTTCACTTGCGCTGGCGCTCACGCAGCACGGTTCCTGATCCAGAGCCACGTGCACGACGGGGAGAAAATCGAGCACACCAGCCAAGACACCGCCTGCAGCGGCTCCTGCAGCCGCGGCCCGCGCCGTAGATGAACTGCTTCCGCCCACTGTTTCCACGCCCCCAGCACTCTGCTTCGCTTGTTGTGCAGCCTCGCGGGCATTCGCGACCGCAGGACCTAAGTTCTGGTTGGGGCACTCGAACACCCACAGCCGCCACCGGTCACCGCCTTTGCTGTGTGCGCCTACTGCAGCACACGCGGTTTCATTCTGCTGCGTTGGATAGCAGACTAGTCCGTCTATCGTCTTGGCTTCCAGATCGACGCAGCCGTGTACCGCGAGCCCCTTCTTTGGCACGTAGTTCATCAAGAACACGGACGACGAGGAGCCTGTTGCAGGAGCGGGTACACTAGCCTCGCTACTTGAAGAATTATACACCGCTGCCGCTATTAAGCTGCGATCGCAGCCGAGCGCTGAGTAGCCCACGGTGGACAGACGCACGCAGTCTACACTTTTCATTAAGCCGTCGCTGCCACTCGACTGAAGCAGACGCAATGCGCCAGACTCGCTGCCCACTAATAGACAGTCGTTGGGTCCGGTGGCGCTACCTACCGAACTTATCGGCAGCAAACACTGCACTCCCCACTGCAGTCGGACGGTCCGAACCTCCTTGGATTTGCAGCTCACTACTTGCACCAACCCCGTTTCGTCCCCGGTGACCATAGCCGCTTCACCTCCACTCTGAAGATGGTCGATATTTCAAAATCTACCAATGCGAGCAAATAAAAGAAATCTAAAATCATAATTCAAGTTTTCCCAAGCGAGGAGACCGAGATGTCCTGTCTTCCTATCTTGTGAAGATCCGTCCATAAAAATATCCAACATCTGATGAAAACTTAGGAAACTCATTCAAATACAGATTTCTCACATATTCGGGGTTATCGCAAAAAAAAAACAAAGGTACCTCCATAAAGCCACAACTTGTGATGAAGTTCACGTGACATCTCGCTAGTGGCTTCAGGTCTAAAGTGACGTCCTGAGGTTCTCCAAGAATATCTTCCTCTAACTTGCGTGCGATTTCTGTTTAGGGTAAAATTGATGAGTTTCCACTTTGCTCGTTCTAGTCTGAGTGTGCTGGTGAAGGTCATCTACTTATAATACATAGTCAACATATTGAAGATGTGACTTAGATGAACACGGATCTGGATTTCCAGTTCTACCTTCCAACTCCTCTCCAGTTGGCAGACTCCAGCGAAAAAGGTTGCCGCCTGCTGTCGTCATAAGAGCGCGCGCGAAGTCTGGGGACGGCGTAAGCGAAGTGACGCCCTTGTATTCCGCGGAGTGATTTAAATCACAGATATCCTGCATGCGAAACAGATCCGCGAGACCTCCTTGCCCGCTCTCCGCACTATCCTCTTCGTCCTGGTCGTAAAGCCAGTACACTATATACTGTAACCGGTCTCCAGCAGTGGAGTGGGGTTCTGGAATTTTTCACATTCACGAGGTGAGGACAATGAGGACAATGCGAAAGGGAGAGAGAGAGAGAGAGACACTCCTGCGTTCAGAAACAATACCTAAACCCTTTGCTGTGCTAAAGATGATTGATAATCAAATTGAAATTTGAGATTCTTCTATATACGTTCTAAAACTCGAACAAGTTGTGATGTTGAACCAAGGATATTATAGTACTTTTCACTTCGTGGACAGCGACAAGGAAGGTGGAGATGAACATCATGTTCGATATGTAGCCATTCGCAAGTCTGTCGTCTTCGATAGTGCTGAAGCTGCGCCAGGTATATAGAATGACGCCAGTTTCCCGGCATAAGAGGAGAATAGCATTCTTCGTGCTCACAAGAAACCTCCCTTTCGGCGTCCAGGTATACCCTTCCAATGGCGACATCACCTCCCCATCGCCAAGCTCGGGAATGCTGTTGTCGTACAGCGTCACGATGTATGTGAGTTAGATGATGTGGACCAGGAGAGGGAGGACGAGGCTTATGATGATGAGTGACAACATTCATAGTACCGTATTAAATTATAGAAAACCGGTGTTAATGGGAAAAAGATGTGTTGGATGAGGGTGCAGCTAACACGAACGAAAAGTAACCGGCTATATGTTTTCTCCATGTGCAGGTGCACTAGAGCATATTAAACTTTTTCGTTGAAAAGAGTCGGGCGAGGAAAAATTAAACGACTAAAAGTGTATTCCAATCACGACATCGAATCATAATTTTTGAATCGTCGTGCGATTCTTGAGAGCTGAGCTACCCGCCGAGTACTGTTGCAGAGAAAAACACGGTCCTTGTCCAGCGGCGACACGAAAAGCCGGTCTAGTTGATAACGCGGCAGCGAACTAACGTTCTCGCATCCTGGAAGTATACTCCCATCTGCTGTGTTGAACACCAGGAACCGCGTCGAGGACCTGTGCTTTGACAGGGGACTTGTTGTAGTTCGATGATATGATGTATTCATTAGGTGTGATTTTTGTAAAAACACATCGATTTTTTGGAGGATAAAAACTCCTGTAACGCGTAGTTCACAACATCAAGAGAGCACTTCTATTTCATACTCAAGAAAACAAGGCGAGCCTGCAGTGATCCGAAGATACCATACTCATCAGCACAATACAACTAGAGTGATGAGGATGAAAACCGGTTTGACTTACGTTGACTTCCCCAGTGCGTACAGCCGCGTGCTGCAGGCAGAGAACTGCAAATCTGGCACATCGAGCTCCGCAACTTTCGGTATCACGAAAAACAGTTTCTTATCCGCAAACACGTAGATGCAAGGGAAAATTCCTGACGTCGCTAAGGCGACATACTTGCCGCTGGCAGCTAAACATTTTGCCGCGTAGACACCTGTCGTGTCAGAGGTGAAGATATGATCTAACAATTTTTGGAAGAAGAACCTGGTAAAAAAGCCTGCACTGCTATACTTTTCACAAAAAATACAATCAAAAATTTAAGTATTTTCAGGCCCCGAGATAGATACCTTCCGGAAGCGGTACGAACTCCCTGGTTTCCGTAACAATGTCGAGGAAACAGAGATGCTTTGCCGCAACGTAGACGAGTTGCGTCGGACCGCAAAATGCGCACGACAACAGGCTTGGCGTCGCTGTGTAGTTCAGCGACGCAGAGGTGAAAATCGACTTCGGCATGACCGTTACGTCGGTCACCCTTAATAAATGGGGCTACTGCTCCTCCTCCAAGGTAAAGGATCAAACCTCATGTCCTCTATGCAAATATTTGTACTCGCTGCTCCCGTAGCATGCAGCTGGCGAGTCAGAGAACCAGCTAAAAAATGTATGTATTGAGTGATGTACTATGAGCGATTATCTGAATAGTATGTTTCACTAGCAAGTAGCTGTTCTTTGTCGTATTTTTATCCGTTTTCTAGTAGACTTTACCTTTGGGAAGTAGGCTGCAATTTTTCGAATCGATTGAAAGGTCCCCTTTCATTTTGAGCGAAGATGTTTGTTACGTCAAGCTCGATCAATCATATCGACGAAAAGCATGTGCGAGTGTCTTGGGTAAAGGAGGAGTCCCTCTGCGATACGTAGGCTCGAGTTCTTATCCTCATCTCTCCGAGGCTCCAGGGGCAGGACGGCGATGCGCCTATAATCTACTTTTGCCAACAAGCGACAGATGCACCCTCTCAGTCTCTCAGACCCGAATAAAGATGAAGCTCTAGTTCCATTTCATAAGTCATCTCCTCTGATGTTTGCGTTTGTCATGCATTTGTTTCCACCTGATGATGAAGAACCTCTTCATCAAGGTGACTTGTACCATACGCACACATGCCATAGGCACATCCCTGTTTCTCTACACCTCCTTCGCAAAACAGATCACTGTCCACCAATTTTGTCTTTCCGGTATCTTGTTTCATAATGTTCTCCTAAAATGTTCACGACTTCTGGGATATTTCGCTTTTCTTGCTGTATTCTCAAACTCAAATCTGAAATCTTTACTTGAATTCCTCTAGTGACGAATCAGTAGTAGATCTATAGTTTTAGTACACATATCAACATTTCAGAGTCGTTCCTGTAGCTATCCTTTTGATCGCTAATAGAGCAGGGTCTCGTTTTATTCGTGCATAAACTGTGGGGAATGTGGAGAAAAAGAGTAATTCTGCATGTTGTTTTAGTGGGTGCGGGTTTACTATGAAGACTTAGACTTAGACATCTAACCATTAAACACACACAATTTGTTTCTTGTAGCATTATCATGTTCTTATAGCTGCAGTGACAACTACTAGCTACTGAATCATATGAAACAAAAATGAGACTAGATTTACATTTGTACTTGGTTGTTGAAAATGAATGCAGCTACAACTAACTGTTGTAGTGAACATTTTTATCATGGCATCACGATTATTGCCCTGACGCAAATTCAGGCGTACCATTTTTATGGCTGTATCACTTGTAGGACCTTCAGACAAGTACAGATTATGTATGAGAAATGGCAGACTATTGAATAGCTCGTAGTCGTAACTTTCAGGTGCATGCAATCAATTACTGTCGTGTGATATGGTCTTAACGATATCGATTGACGTTACCCCACGTCGTGCTTCCTCGCGATTACTGCACCTGGACAAGCTTCGGACAGAACTTTACCAAAATTTCGAGCGGCATCTCCCTGCACAGATCTAGCTTCACTTGTAAACCGTCTTTCCTATCCGACACCCGACACTCACGGACACCCGATAATTTCCCCAACGTCGGCTGCAGATACTGAGCGACGCTGTCATCTGGAGCAAAATTGATGTTTCAAAAAAGATATGGAACAAACTGCACTTACTAAGGTGGAGGCGTTGCTTGAGATTACAAAATATCCAACTGTCAATTATATATTCTAGAAAGTACTGTTGTTCTAGAAAAAAGAAGTAGTTCTAGAAAAAAGAAAAAAGTACATAAAATCGGCAAGCAGGTGCTCAAGTCGCGCAGAGGTAGGTCCCGCACCCTGCAGATGACTTCCTCGTAACATCGCGAACGTGACGCACGCGCAAGTAGCCCTACTGCTTTCGCACTGTCAAAATTTCTTAGAGGTAACCGAGCTTTCTGACAGTATCTAATGAGAAGCATCTTCCTGGTGCTCTCCTCTTTTCCCCTTGGAAAGCCTTATCGTTTAGTAGTAGTAGAAGCTGTATACACATTCTGGGGGTAAGCTTCACAAGAGGGGAAAACACCTCTTCATCAGGATGCTTCTAAACAAGATGGAGCCCATGCCCAATAGGGTAAGCCATAAGTTTAGCTTCGAATACTTCTTCAAAAATTTGATGAAAGCGTTCAAGCACACTGATGCGCGATGACGCAACTCGGATAAGGCATACATCGAATCTGGGTTTGCGGGTTTTCACATGAGGAGTTCTTTCCAGTAATTCCTTGTATAAAAGATGGTCTCTTAGATACATACCTCCTTCAGATTTGCTCAACAAGGTCGCGTACTCAAATACGAAAATGATATATGGATGTTCCTAAACTCTAATACTAAAAAGCACCTTCCACGTCAGAGTCGCTTTCCCCATCCTCTACCACTGCAGCCTGCTTTTTGCCCACAAGAAGAGGCGCGACTCTTGAAGACATAACAGCGTTACATATGAACCGAAGATTCTGACTCATACCCAAGAAGACAGGTGTAACTATTTTGCACACTATTTACCAAATGAATTAGACGTACCGAAAATTCTCAAGGTAAACCATTTGTAAACTACTACAACAGAAGGCAACCTGCCGAGGAATGGATGTGTGCAAGGATATGCATATTCACCCAAATAATAGCAAGATCTGCCTGGCTCATGAGTGAGAATCATCTTGCAGTCATATTATTGACAGCACGCATATTGACAGGGTGTGGTGCGGCGACTGGTGCTGGCACCACAAACATCTGGCCCGGGTGTGTATAAGCGGGTATTGGGTACACATAGCCATGAGTTAGCGGAGTTATTCTTAGAGGAGCTCATCCACATTTCCTCCAAAGGGTTATCTTGGAGCTGTTCTTTTCTAAAGTGAAGACAGCAGCTTCTCTAAGGTGCACCATCTACAGATGAACTATCCTTTTCTCTAAGGTGTCCCATCATTTTCTCTAAGATGTCCTATCTTTTTCCATAGGGTTTACTATCTTTTTCTCTAAGGTTTACTATCTTTTTCTCTAAGGTGTCCTATCTTTATTTTCCCTAAGGTTTATTATCTTTTTCTCTAGCAAGGTGTACTAGTATTGAAGGTGAACTTCTAGGCGTGGGGTGTAAGTCTTAATACTGGTGCCATGGCCGCGAGTTGAGGTTGCAGATGCTGATACTGTGGCACTACTGCAATGCCACCAGAAGCGATTCCGCCAGGAACGAACGACACTCCATCTGCTGATACACCAGGCACGACCGCACTAGGAGTAAAAACCGCGGCATCTGCTGATAGTGTCGTCTTAGAAGCGTTGTTTGACGCTCTACTAGTAGATTTCGGAGTCCCAGAAACGCTAGCCTCTGTATCCTCGCCTGTCTCTGGGTAAGCTACATTATCTACTGGCGCACACGGTGATCCTGCCTCACTGGCGTCCTCTGCGGATTCTGCAAGTGTTCCTAATTTCGCTGTTGTTGTTGCTGCCCCCTCCTCTTCCCGCTCAGCTGTCAGGAGCTGCTATTTTATCGATCTTTTTGTCCCACTTGCTACGATTCATACCATGAACGCAGTTAAGAAGAATCATCAACAGGGTGATCAAAGAGTTCGAAGAGAGAGAGAAAGTATGATTTTGCAACGTTGTTCAAACATGAGAAGAGTCCAAAAGCATATACCTCTTCCTTTGCCGCGGACCCACGAATCCTTCGAATACGCTGCCCATCTACGTCCACTTCGATAAGGGGCTGTAAGATAGGACGGAGTCATTGATAACCTGGGTGAGGACCTTAGACAAAGAAAGAGGAACTTCAACCTTATAATTATGTGTACTTTGAAACATGAAATGATACTTTTTCAGACTACAATTATACTGAATTGCATGATCGTAAAAAAAAGAAAAGCTCGATACCGTTGGGTTCTCCTCTAGAAAAGCCAATAATGTTTGCTCGGACCCCAGCAGAGACTTGGTCACCCTGTCAAAGCAAGAACTGGTTATGAAAGCGGTTCTATCTTCTAGAAGATGGCTCTCCTTTGTGGATATTGAATGATTCTCGTCATTCACGACTAATCAATGACATCAAGTTTGATACTCGTCGCCTGCACATTGAAGATCTACAAACAAACAACGAGGTTACTCATCTAGAGAAGGTATGGTCTTTTTCTTCCCGCTCATACCATACTCATAGCAGAAAAGGAGGTCCGCCTCCTCACTGTCAAGCCACCCATCTTCTTCTTCGTCCAGCGCGTCGAGCACCCCCACCACTTTGGATGACAACCATGTCTCCAAAGTGCCACTTTTACCGCCGACGGACGATGTTGTTCCTTTCGATGTTCCTGGTTTTAGGACAGCATCTCCTGCGTCATCTGATCCCACGGATGACCTGTCTTGACACAGAATTTCAATGGACACGTCATTCGGCGCGATCCATTGTGCGGGTGCTAAGGTCCCATCACCCCTTCTACGCTGAATCAGATCGGACTCGCGTAAATGAACGCAGCAAAAAAAACAACATCATAGAGGTGAAAACAATTTTTCCAATCGTAAAAGGAACGATGTCGTGTTGCTTACGTGTGATTACAACTGGTCAACTTGGTTGTAAACCAACATTTTCATACGCTTTTGATATGGAACTACGGAACTGGGACAACTATAGAAATGCGGTAGAGCCATTCGTGTTCGTGTCCATTCTAATGTTGATGTAAACTATATAAACTTCCATAACTCAGAGGGACACTGCAGTCCTTGATCAGCCGGTCCCGTAATGACGCTGCGCTTACAGGTGAGTTCGGCACAGAGACGTCGACCTAAATGTGAGGTGAAAAAAATGTGCGGTTATTCATCCTCAGAGCGAACCAGAAAGGCACTGTGGTGCATAGTTTGGTGCATCAGCATTTGGATACAACTCACACCTCGTCCGTAAGATGAAAACTTCTTGCACGTGAAGATACTTGGATACTTCTACTTAACATGTGGTCTGCCAAATTTTTACGCTGCCTGCTTAAATCTAGCTCCCAAGCAAGATAGGAGAAGAGAAGATTGATACCGTGGCAACGTTTTTGCCCAGTGCATTCGTCAGACGGACGCTCAAGGACATTTTTCGTGATCTGGGTTTTGTAGAACAAACCACGAAAGCGTTAGATGCGCATGCGTTGTGGTTTATTCAGGTGGTATTAAAAGAAAAAGGTAAATATTAATAAGAGGCAAATGAATGAGGACGTGGACCGCACGACAACTTTCAAATGATATATAACATACTGAATTCAAATGATATTCTACTTAGTTCTAAAGCACTTTGGCTTCTATACTCTTTCTAGTACTTCTCTACGCCTCCTCCTCACTAGCTCCTTCTCTAACCTCAACAGAAACCTTGTAGTTCAGCTACACGAGATGATGTATGAAAGTGACTCTCTCTCTTTTCATTCATTCACGCTGCCACCAACACGGGCGGTAGCAACAGTACTTCCTACGAAGGGATGCGTCTCTTACTTACGATGTCCTCCACGCTCACACGCATAGTGCAGAGACCTTGATCATCTGAAAATACAGGCCTCGGCACGTGTCTGTGAACCGATAAACATGCGAAAGGGATTGGATCCTTGTTGTGGTGCTTCTAGATGGGAGCAAGAGAATCATGGGGACCAGAAGTAAGAACACTCAAAAACAACCTCCTGCAGCGAGACTGTCATCTCGCGGTCGCACCGCTAGAGGTGAGGTAGACTCCTTGTATCTTGTTCTACAACAGGTAAAATATAGTCTAAGGGAAAAGTAGGTCTCAATCTCGAAACATCGAAACAATTGTACCTTAGTTGGTTACTATATTATGCAGGCATTGGATTTCATTCTGAGCTGCAAGAAAGAAGAGTCCTCTAGAACTTCAGGCTGTAGACTCCTCATTAATGCTTTCCTAGCTCCTCTGCGTCCTTATGCGTGTGCGGATCTGATAAGACTGCCTTTAGTCTTCTCTTATGCGCCTTAGATTTGAAGTGTGCCTGCCTGGCCTTGTCATCCACGAAATGTGCGTCGCAGGAAATGCAATAAAATCTTCCCAAACCTGGTAAGTTTTCGTCGCTTGCTTGCTTCTTTTCCTGCTCTATCCTTGTTCGATTCTCAGCCTTCAAGTTGTCGTGAACCTGATAAGATGGAGTAGGGTTGTTGACATTGTTTGTCCTTGTTGGTGGTATTTAAGAAAAACTTTGATGTGCGCGTGAACAGTGTTCAATGAAGTAGAACATAATTCGCCATAGTCAATATCCGAAAAAAAAACTCACTTATGAAGAAGAGAAAAAAAAAATACCTGATCGTGGTCTTTTGGTTTCCCCCCATGCTGTTTTCGCACCACGTTGTATGTCCTCCCTTTCTTATTCTGCTTCTTCTTCTTATTTCCTCTTTGTGGAACGCCCATTTTGTCTTATTTTTGGAGTAAAAAAGGATTAACTTCTTTAGTTATTATTTGAAGTCTTCATAAAAAACAGGAAATGTGATGTCGCAGTTGATATCGTGATATGCTCTTCTAGTGGGTAGAGCGGTCGACCTCAGCGTGTTTATACCAATTCATCTAGCACCTATCACTGCCTGAAGACGCTGTAATTGAAGAGGCAGGAAAGTTTTTTTGGACTTCGAAGAAACTACTCAAAGGGTCCTTGTCATGTCAATTGCTGGTCATGTTCAATATTGGTATCCAATTCTCTTGGTGGACTGAGTTCTCTACTTCGGACTGAGATCTGCTCTGTGCCTCCACCCGGTATTTTGATCTTTGCACCTCAGATGTGGACGAGCTGCGGATAGGATCTTTCAATCATTCGTGCAGATCATGGATCTCGGAACTAAAGGGCTCTTTCAACTCCCCGGATCTGCTCGGCATTTCGTCTGATCCCCGGTTTATTTGTCATGCTGTGATGTCTCATGTGTAGGAGCGCTTGGGTCTTCTCAGTATTGTCCAGACAGATTTCCTTTTCCTTAAAACAAGGAAAATGCGGATCGAAGATACTTTGGTCGTACAGTAATGAGGTTCGAATCGATAAAGATGAGGTTGCAATTTAATACAAGTTATCTTTGCATTTCTGGAAATTTCACTAACAAACTTTTGCACACTACTAGTTGTACTTAACACCAAGAAACTCGAATTGCAACTGATGCAGAACCAACAAACTATACAAACATAAAAATATCTCTCTCCTACGTGGCATCACACTAATGTGTGAGGAGCTTCTACTTGCTTACAACAAAAGAAATCATAACTACAACTTTTTGGTTTTCACAGTTAGCTAGAACCTATTCTTACTTTGTTTGCTTCGACACAACTTTTGAAGATGGAGCACAGAAGAAACTATGAAACAACGACAATTCTTTTGCAGCTATATCACTTGCTAGCAACAACTAACTAGGCACGAAATTTAGCATAAAATGAGATAGAAAAGCATCGATGTAGATCGATAAACATAAACATGCACATTGTTAAATAGCAATTAAAGTTGGGAGGTGCTGTTGGGTTACGTAAACGACTGGTCGCAAATAAAGTGTTGCTTGATATTCCAAATTATTGGATCGACCTCCGCACTCTAAAACTGTGCAAAATGCTAACTCCCAATCAAGATTGTATCCAGGATTCCGCTTTTCGTGTTGAACTTGCGTAGGGAGTTGTCACCGCAGCTGATGAGCAAAAAGTGCGGCTGCGAGAAGGACAAGCTGGTTGGCGCGTCAAGACATTGCGTTTCTCGGCTCCGCCCGTCATGATTGCCCTGCACGCCGCTGCCGCACACTTTATTAGACCAGACCTCTCACTCCGTAATTCGTGGTTCATCTTTCACCTGCATGAATCTTGAAAAATGAAAGTAATCAAGAAGAATACCTTGTTAGCTAGGATACACTGACAGATAAATGGAATGAATACCTTCCGAGGTGGTCAGGGACGATGCACTCAATAAAGATGAATTCTCTATACTTAGCCTTAACTGTAGTCATTAGGCCCGAAGCAATGTCTATCTTTCGAATCACGTGATTGCCGCGGTCCGCGACGTAAACTAATTGCGTCTTCGGGTCGACAGCTAGGCCGGTGGGAGTATCAAGTCGGCAGATGTCAAGAGGGCCATCAACGTACCCACGCTTTCCACAGCCTGCTACCGTCATCAACTCTCCCCCTTAGATCCACCTTCAGTTTCATCTTGGTCTCTATATTCCCATTCAAAAATAACGGAACTGGTCCCAAACATGGAGTCTAACATTGGCTAGCATACCAACACCAAGACTATACGATGACACCCTGAAACCTATATTCCCGTTCAAAAATGACGGAACCAAGATACTGGGGAAGATGCCTTTACTGCAGCCTTAACCCCCATTCTCGACTAGAAAAATCGCATGGGAGCTCCCGTCACAGAGGAGGAAGCGGCCAAAAGCATCGAGAGGAAGTGTGCAGAAGCGTCCCCGACTTCCACCGACCTGCGACTGCTGTTGTTCCGCTAGCGCTTGGTTTGTTTCAGGATAGAAGCCACAAAGTCTTGGGGGCACAACTTTCAGCAGCGAAGGCAGAGACAAGAGTCCGACTAGGAAGTACGGTCTTGCTGAGTCATAATGAGATGGATTTTGCTGGCTTTGTTCATGTGCTCGTGATGCTGCTCTACTTCCACTATGTCCTCTTGTTCCAGTAGCGGTAGAACTACTAGAAGAGCCCGTGCAACTGGAGGACGAAAGATCCACGTAGAGCAAACTCAGCGGCGTATTGGGGTATCTGCTCTCACGATGAGCAGAGCCTAACGGCTGGGAAAGATGTATTGTCCTCCACTCGCCCACGCAGTGCATCTCTTCTGTGGCCGCATTCAGGTCCAGAGGCTCCTCTTCGTCTACTGCCACTAATTCATCGAGTTCGTCCAACTCCGCTCCCCCGAGACCAGCGAACGGTGCTCCAGCACTAAAGCTGCCGCGTACGCCATTGAGAACTGCATTTAGAACAGCTCAAAATATTTTTCATTTCTCCATTCCATTATTTTCTCACTGTTGGTTCTACGGAGGAAACACAAACAGTGAGAAATGATAATGACTTATGTAGAAATGAAGTATTATACTTCGGTCCTTAATGCAGCCCCAAAATTTGAAACGCCACCGCCAAAAGAAGACGCTACGGAGCTGCCTCGTCGGGAGTCTAAGGGGGTGGCAAAGTCGCGCTCGAAGGGGACCAAATTCGCTACGCCAGACATGCGATGCTGCTGTAGGGCCGCGACGTGCGCAGATGATTGGAAGAAATTGAGCATCCCATCGTAGCCAGACGGACGCTTCAGGCTCTGAAGCGAATCACTCGACAGCAGCGACAGCTGTGACGCTGCCGATTGTTGGGCTGCTATCTGAGCCGCTAGGTTCACGGAATTCTTCCGGCTTGCCGCGATTTGTGATTGCATCAGCTGCGCAGTTACCGAGGACCGACGTCGCACGTGATTCTGATTATTGTTCGCGGACAACAGCAGCATCCCTGGCGAATTCTGGAACAAGGAACCAGTCCCTTCGTAGTGCGACAACCGTCGGTCGTCGCGATTATCCGCAAACCCAGGGTTAAAACTGTTCCGACGCGAAGCAGATATGATTTCGGTGTTCACGAGTAACGGTGTTTGTTGTTGTTGCACCGCCTGCGGGCCAGCAAAAGATGCTGTTGTAATTAATGTACCAGTTTTTGATGGATTCAACTGAAGTTGTCCTCCTCCCAAAGACGTACTTGAGCCTACTGTGTGGTCCTCTACAACTCCATTACCACCAGATATTGTCGTGGCCGCTTTGTTTTCATCCTCTGCTTGTTGCGGTCTTACAGGCTGACTCAAATCTGGAATGGCCATCGTAAGTCGTACCACGTTGTTTGTGCCACTAGGGCTGCTTGGTACGACCTCTGATATCTTCAAGGACCATGCTTGTTGGACTGCAGAAGTAGCGCTTATATCATCTGGCGCATTGGTCTCCGGAAGAGCATTCGCGGCACTATCTTTTGATTCTTGTTCAGCATCAGGGTTACCAGCAGCCCTAGGACTAGGATCGCCATCCTCAGAACGCTGCTGACCAACTCGTACGGTAGTGGAAGCAAAAATATCATAGACCTGGTCCTCATCCTCGTCCGAGTGTTGCTCGCTGCCAGCTAGAGGCTTTACGCTCTTTTTACGAGCGATTCTATCAGCTGTTGTTCCTCCTGCTCCGTCCGGCGGCTCCGCTGCACCGTCGACTATTTGCGCCGAGCTGTCCATCTGCTCTGCCATATTTTCTTCTGTATCTTCATCTTTCCCAGATGAAACAACTATATTTGGTTTCTCGTCTACACTTGACATTTTCTCTGCGAGGTCTATGATGTTCGTCCTGGCACCGCCAGGCGAATGAAGCATAATCGCTGGAGGCGGGAAGGATATACTGGCAGGACTCTGCTGTGAACTCTGTGGGCTTGTATTTCCAGAGCTCGCACTGTCCACACCTGCAGCCGGAAACTGCTTTCCAGAGGACGACCTGCCGATCTGCAGTGTAAAGCTACGAATACGATTTTTTTCTGCACTACTACTAGTTGGCACATCACCTCCAGTTTTAGGTGATGTGCCTTCCTCCTCCGGGCTGCTGTCAAGCGGTGGCGAAACCGTAAGTAGCATCGGTGGAGGCTCAACTACAGGCCTCTCCTCGTCCTCCTCTTCTTCATGCTCCTCCTCGTCGCCCTCGTCTACCACGGTGGGCATCAAATTCATCGTCTTGCGCTTCGTCGCGACTGGTGCCAAGGCTCCTTGCTCCGAAACCGAAGATGGCAGCGCTGAGACTCCTCCTCCGCTCAAGCCAAGTCCTGCAACGGTCGACCCTGACGAGGATGACAGACCGCTTCCAACAATCCCAACTGCAGAAGAGTGTGCGCCATTGTGAGGATCCACTGAAGATGCTACTCCAGACTGCAAGAGGCGCTCTGACGCAAGATGCAGATCGCCGGCTACCGATGTCGTCGTTGTTGAGCCGCCTCCTCCTCCATTGAGGGGATTGCCGCCTTCACTTGCGGAGTCGGACCCAGACTCACTTGAATCGTCCGAGCGATGAGGCAACCCTTTCAAAGTCAAGTCAAAGAACCGCACGCTTTCGCCCGCCTCTGTCAGGCCAGAAACACCGGGACCACGACTAGCAACTCCAGCGTGCTCTTCCAACCTAGGAAAGGGTGCGAATTGAGTTGGCTCTGCCACTTAAAGTTCATCCCGTGATAGATCATGATCAAACAAATGTTCACTCGTTAAACAAAAAGGACAGCCTCACATGACAATGACAAGCATATTTTCCTCATGATTTAACGAGACACCGACTGACAGGCCGAGCGCTCGGCCTGACGGGAGCGGCAGTAGTCCCGTCAAACAATTATAGACAAACTTAGAAGACCACGGCAGCGAAAGCACACGCTTGCCTTAGAGCCGAGGGGCGCAGCGTGGCGCGTCGCCTGGGCCTTGCACTTGGAGTACAAGAAAGTAGCCCAAGCAACTAAAAAACGGGCCGACATATTGCAGGCACGGGGTGGAACAACTCGAGCGACCAAGCGCGGCCGCCTGCCTCGCAGGGAGAGATAGTTAGAAACTATCTAAAACAGCAATGAAAAAGCGAACGCGGGAGGCGGCGCCGTGGCGTTGGGTCAGGGCCCGGTTGGCAACCTCAGGCATCGAAGTAGAGGCTCGCGCACTTTTCAAGAGTGAAAAGCGCACCACACTCAGCCGCCAGGCCGCGGGGTGCGTTTTCCAAAGCAGACGACCCCCCCCACGGACACCCGCGCAGCCTTGCCGCCGCTCCCTTGCTTGCTTGAAGAAATTTCGCGCGGGCCGGTATTCCCCAGGCATGTAGCTGAGGTTTCGGGCTACGCCCTCTCGCGCATCTTTTTCATCATCTCCGCCGGCGCCTGTGTTCTCGCTCGAGGTTGGCAGCTGCGTCCTTGCGTTCCGGTCCTGCTCTTCTTGGTCATTCTGACCTCGTTGAGCCCCGGCCGCAGGTGACGGCTGCGCCGATTCAGTGAGCTGCGGGCGAAGGCTGCGTCCGTTGGGTTACCGGCTGAGTTGCAGGTTGAGTTGCAGGCGCTGTCTCTGCGTCCTGTCCGCCTTGGGTCTCTGCATTATCGGCCGCGGCGTCGTTCGAAGCAGCATACCCAACATGGAGGCAAATAATTCTCCCACTTGACTTCTGGCCTGGCATCGCAAGCGCAGGCCTGCCCGTGTTCCGGGAGGGCGCGCGTGGACACCGTCGGCACTCCCGTCAACCTGCGCGCGCATTTCGTATGCCCGTACCACCCGGCGAAGGGGTCGCCAAGTTCTCTGGGTATTTCAGCGGACTCTAAATAAGCTCGAGTACATACCCGCCTCCCCTTCCGCTGCCGTTGATGGCGCTCGCGCCCGCTGAGCTTATCCGCCTTGATGCAGCCGAGCTGCCATTGTCGTGAGACCCGGCATCTCCTCCGACAACGCTAGACCCTTGTGCCATAGAGCTGAGCGGCCCCGGAGTTCGGCCCCCACCTGCGGTTAGAGGTTTGTGCTGGATTGCTAATACCTTCATCCACTTACTTTCTCAGTGTACTCGCCACCGGAAAAATGGCTGATGTTATACCTATTGCACAGTAATTTGCATGCCACTACAAGCCTTCGTCATAAGAAGAGTCCAGGAGCGCCTCCAGAGCCGGTGATCATCAAACTCATGCTCCTGTCTCGATTTGAGTTCGCAAACAGCTTGCCGCCTTTGACCACGAGGCTTCCTGCTCCCTGAGCGGCTGTTCGGCTTTGCCGCCGTGCAGCGCCGTCAAGTGTTCCTCCCCCGCCCGCCCCCGCAGCAGAATGCACCTGACTGCCACGGCGCGGGGACAGATTAGCGACCACACTGGAGGAACTTCGCCTTGTTGACAGGTGCGTGCCAGAGCCACCTCCTAATCCAGACCCTGGAAATCCGAGACCAAGTGCGCCTGGTCCTTCTGAGACGCTGTCTTCATCCACCGCGCCTTTGAGAGTCGTTTGAAAGCTGTTTCTTCGCGAGCTAACCGAACCCCGTCGATCGGGCACCATCATGGAACCGCGTCTCGAATGCGCCACAACGCCCAGATCGGACAGGGTCATCGGTGTCTCCCGCTTCACGTCTGGTGCTGCGAGTGCAAACGAAGCTCGATGTTTTTGTAGCATTTCGTCTACGTCGATACGAGGTGCCATTTGTGATTTCTATTAGAAGTGTAAAAATCAAAGCCCATAATTCCGTTTCAAAGAGTCTACGTCTACCTTATTCTCACCAAATGCAACTCAGAGGGAGCAGTCTACGTCAGTAAAAAAGTAGTGCCGAAGCCGTAACTCCTACGACCAAGAGGAAGCTGTTGCTCTCGTTGCTGCTGGCCTTGATTCCTTCCTCCTGGACCCAATATTCCGCTCTGCTGGTGACTATAATCACTCTGCTGAAAGGACGATCCGTCACTATTTCTCGAGCCCGACGCAGCACTACCAAATGTATTGAGACCATTCATCCCTGTATTTCTTAGGCCACTAGTGCCGGACGATGGTGTGGTAATGCTGATTGACATCTTCCCGCCTTTCAACATGAGAGCATCTCCTTTTGTAGGAGCCGTAGCGCCTCCCCCCGTGCCATTGCCGCAACGGTCTGCTCCATGGGATGAAGATGACTGCATCTCGCTGCCTGTATTCACAACGAATCCGCTAGTAGCAACGGGAGCCGCAGTTGGCAAGTTCTTCTTCAAAAAATCCTTTACTTTCTTCTTTTTCTTCTTCTTTTTCTCGCTTCCTCCACTACCCAGACGGTCAAGCAGAAATCCACTCTGCAAACCACTCAGAAAATGCGCATTCCCCTCTGCTTCTCCGCCTCCTCCGCCACTGCCTCCAGCATCTAGAAAACCAGGAGGATTACTAGCACCACCGCCAACCTGTTCTCCACCTGGGCCCCCCGCACCTGGTGTTCGCACCTTCAGATTGCCTTCCTGGAACAGCCCTGCCATCAGAATGTTGCTGCCCCGCGGTCCTGTGACCATCTGGCTCGCCCGTTGTAAATTCAAGCCCTTTCTTGCGTAGCTGTCCCACAGTTCCGTCTGCGCACTGACCGCAGTCATCCCACTCGCGATCGAGCTTGCACGGCTTCGGTGGCCCGAGAACATCGCCTCGTACTTCCCGTCGGAATCACATTCCATCCCGCTGCTAGAACCGGCCGAGCTGCTGCCACGACTCGCGCCGTCCCCGCCACCTACTCCGCCGCCATCCCAATCCGACCGGCCCTTACTGTTCGGAGCAGACGTGATGCGCAAGACGTTGATATAGTGCACATACTCCGCATCCAGCACGTACAAAACTCCGTTATCTGGCGCTCGGAAATGAAACATAGTCTTGGTGCTAAAAGAGGTGGGACCAGTCACATTTATGCTGCTCCCTTCCTAGTAGTCACTATTCGCTATTCATCTATCAGTATCATAATGTTCTGCCACACTGAGGCACCTAGCTAATGTTTGACTCCCCTGGAAGCTGAACTACGAAAGCTCCAGTCTATTGAAGAACAAGACTCTATCTACTTACTTAGTACTTATCACCTTCAAATCAACAAGAATACTCTGCATGTCTTGCCATATATTGCGAAGCTGACGGGCCCGATTGGGGTGATGTCGAGAACCGTGTCCACCTGAGTCGTAAGCAAATTGACGCAGCGAATCACGTTGTTCCAGTAATCTGCTATGAACAGAACCGATCGGACCTGTGCCAGGCCTTTTGGCGAAGAAAATCGCGCGTAGATACCCTGCACGTCGTCCTTGTAGCCGTAGCCACCCTCACGGTCGCCGGCTATGACATGACAGCTTCCAGTCGCCGGATTTATGTACCAGATCATGTGATCCGCCGACACGGCTATACGGGTCAGCGGCCACGAAGAACTTTTCTCATTCGCAGCTTCTGGATTTGCAGAAGTTGTTCCGTACTGATGTTGCGCTCCTGAATCCGTTCTGAGCGCTGGCTCCTCATAGTCGATCGCATCGGCCAACAGCAGGTTGTGCGTTTTCTCAACCACTTGCGCCGTCGTGCCTCCTAAAGCTCCTCCCTTAGGAGGCTGTGCAGGCTTCACCAACTTCCCGACGACATTGCCCTTAGGACTTCTAGTACTTTGATGTGCACCTTCGATTCCAAAGGAAGAAGTACTGTTCGTCAAAACTCCTTGTTGTTGTTGAGGTTCTTGAGATTCTTCTCGTCGCCGGTCCTGGAGATCATCGAATCCAGGGGCCTCTTTCACCACATCTGTGCGCGCATCCAGCCGCTCGATTAGCTTGGCAGCGACGGTCGACGCCACTGGATCCATGGCCGTGGTGCTTGTTAATCCGCTTAATCCACCGTTATTTACTCGAGCTGTACTGCCAGGAGCAAAACTTGAGTTTGGGTTTTCAGCATTTATTGCGGCGTTCTCACCAGAAGACGGCTGCTCCCCTGACAACGCAGAAAGGACCGATAAAGCCCTCGCAGTAGGGGGACGCAGAACTAAGTTGTTGTGCGACATTTCTTCCCCCATCACCGAGTACTTGCGTCGACCAGGCGTGAAGTCCGGAGCCTGCGGAAACGTCGGCAGCATCTTTTGATGCGCATCTGAGATCGACAAAGACGGCCGCGCCGACAACTGCGAAAGACGGCCGCCAAGACCACGCAGCAGATCTACAACAGTGTGTAATGGCGAAAAACTTCTTAACAACTACAACTTGTTGGATTGAGATGTCCTTAGATGAAAAGTCAAGATTTTACTAGAGATGCAGGTCCGAGTAGCACATCAATCGCAAAAACTCAATGAAGTGATGATTTATCTTACGTAACGTGCCTGTGATATGACCGTTCGCGAACGCGATCACAATAGATTCAACGGGCTACTACATATAAGTAAAATACCACTGCTCCCTCCGGTCCCTGTGCCATCCGCATTTGTTGTCATGAGGAATGAGCCTGTGCGCATTGGAGTTGTGCCACCTTGTGGAGTGGCCCACGACGACGAAGCAGGCGTGCTAGCTTGCAGATGCGTCATGTTCATCGTCCCCGTCACAACTAATGGTGCCGTTGCCGCTAATATCGCACTGTGTTCCTCCGGTCTGAACTTCATACTTTTAGTATCGATATTCAACATCAACTGCTCACTGTCTGTACCTGCACCTGTACTGCCTTTAGTTTTAGTACCCACTCCCACTCCAAGAACAACGCTTGCTGCAGATGCGCTCTGAATCTGATCCCCACCACGTCCTTTGTTGATCTTCCTTGTTCTGCGCTTTCGTGCTTTTTTCCGTTTACTTCGGTCAACACCGGATGCCGATGAAGCCGACGAGCTGGACGGATTGTGAATGTCGTGGACCCGAAAACCTTCCTGGAAACTACGACTACCGCTATCGGATATCGACGAATCCGCTTCTTCCACGCCGCCTAGTGCCCGTGGCGACTTCGAAGCAGCTGCTGCACTCTTCTTAGAAGCTTCGTTTACGAACATTCACATCCAAGAGCACTACTTATCATGTAGGGCAGATGACACATGTGAATCAAATGATCTCGCCAATACAACTACACAGTAGAAGTCCTGCCAGAAAAAGGCACTTACGAGTCATGCTCTTTACAGCACCTTAATCTTTGGCGAATCACCCGGCGTTTTGCCCTGCTCGTCAAAACTACTTGTGCCTACGGATCCGCTCGCTCCGTCTTGTCTGCAGTTCGAACCGTCTGAAGACCCGCTGCCCGAAGCGGAACTGTTGTCCTCACTGTTTCCGCTCGAATTTTTCGATGAGTTTTCTGAAGAACTATCCTCATCTGACGATGACGAAGAGCTCATTTCCGCGCGCCGCCGCTGCTCCTCCTCCTCCTCGGCCACGATTTCTTCCTCTACCAGCATGTCTGCAATCCGACGTGCCTGGGCCAAGTCAATACGCTGCAAGAAGGTGACGTCACCTCTCAAGACGCAGAGACACTTGGGAGCACGGAAGCAGCGTGGTCGAATCCCGAGTTGCTGTGACAACTCTAGTGGAGCCCGCACTATGCGAATGCTTCGAATGCCGAAGCGCTGCAAAAAGGTTCCTGATTCGCACCAACGAGCGTCACTCGATACAGCAGAACCCGAGGAAAATCCCCCTCCACCTCCACCAATAGCTGCTCCATGAACCTGTCCTCCACCTCCTCCTCCGAGCATATTGGGTCCTCCTCCGTCACCTCCTCCGAGAGGTGGCACAGTAGAAGAAGTGGCGTTCGTTCCCGTCTCGTGCAGTGGCACGGTTTCGATTATCTCTTTTTCGACATCGATCACTCGTAGCGCGTCATTGTCAGTATCCAATACAAACAGGCACTGCCGCCGTTCGCAACCGGCCAGCCCGGAGACACCGTGAAGCAGACTGGTGCGCAAAGGGCCGTCACGGAATCCACTTCGCTTGTACTTTCCCGCAAAGACGTGCGGACCCATCAAGCTCTGACGCGATCTCAGTGCCCCATGCGGACCGCCGCTGGGTCCTGCACCTGCTGCTCGAGACATCGCATCAAGATCTGCCAGTGCCCCACCGAACGAAGGTGGAGCTAAATTCTTTGCCAAAAGCACTTAGAAGGAAACCATTATGTACTTACCCAGTCTGAAAATCGAGGTTGCGGTATCTCAGAGTCACAAGAACGCAACACACTCAAGAAGATGGCTCCACATCTGCGTAGAACGTATTTACCTAGATCTTCTACTGGGCTACAACTACGATTTCCATCACAGTCGTTGCATAGCTGTTTCCAGTCCCGAGATAGTGGTAGTGCTTCGGGACACGCTTTCGTGGACTGCTAGTGGTGGCCGCTGCCTGCACGTGCTGTGGTTTCGAAGCTGGTCGTGTGTGCATTCCGCGACGTGCTGCCATATCCTGTGACAAGCCGTACTGCTGATCTCCTTGCACTCCGTGCGCAGCGCCAGCACCCTTGTTTTAGAGAAACGCTAGTGGAAGTAGAGCTTGGATCTGAAGTACATACAATGCATGTGCACACTCAAGTCAATCAGTCTGCTGATTGTGACTTTGCGACGAACCATGTTCTTGCTGCATAAAGAGCATGAAGATTAACTGTAACTAGTGGAGCAATCAGACTGATGCGGCAGCGTAACTTTTAAGAGGGGAAGTAGATGTAGAGCTTGCTTCACTGTAATACGAGAGCTGGTTCATCCAAATGGCATCTGCATCTTCTCCGCGTGCTGCAGCAGCCGACTGCCCTCCATCACTTAGGGCTGCAGCTTCGCTATAAAAGTCGACGGACTGGCTAGCATATGCCTGCTGTGCCTCTTCTTGTCTCCCTTGAATACAACAGGTCAATGTTAAAAATGGGATTTTATAGTGGAAACTACTCCCTCCATAATTTTATGCTGAAGAAGCTAGGGCTACCGTTAATCTAGCCTTAATGTACTAGACCCGAAAGTCTCATGCCAGCGCCAAATTACGTGGGCCGCCGCATCCGCACAGTAAATCCAGGGACTGAGATGGAAAAGACACGACGCAGACAAAATGTCTTGTTTTCTCTCGGTCTCTGTTCTCTCATCTGGCTCTTGCCTACCTTGGTCGCTAATACCGGATTGGTGTCCTTCATCTCTGTGAGCAACATCAGTTCCAGCTCTCCTATTGTTCTCCGCCGCATCTCCGTCAATATCTGTTGTCGAAGATGCTACCAGTCCTGTTGTTCCGGTCGTGCCCACAGCGTCGGGCTTCAGTGTGCGGTACGAGATCTGTTCCCGATGCAGAAAGTCAGCTACTAAATCGCACAAGACCACGATGTCCGCGGTCGACAGTTCCGCAAGCATGCGCCGCAAAAGGGGTACGCGTAGACGTAGGGACTTCGCGATCGGAATCCCAGTTCGTCGCACTTGCTTCAGCGTCAATGTCGGAATGGCATGTTTTTCCACTCGTTCTGCCCAGGAAGAAGCGGACGAACAAGTCGTTTGCTTCTCTGCAACATGCTGTAGCTCGTGAAGAGCATGTGCCTGTGCTGAGTGTGTGGTCCTTGGAGCAGCGCGACGCACTAGTACTGTTGAGCGTGAGGAGGAATGCTGTGCCATCAATCGAGATCCTTCTGAGGACTGCGTGAGCAAATTCTCGATGGCAGCCTGTAGCCCAGGATCTTGCACTTGCCGCGACCGCAGCGCTTGCTTTGATGCTGCCCGAATACTTTGATGTTCGCTCATCTCGTTATCGACATTTTTGACTATACTTTGGGAAGCGTCTTGTACTGCCACAAATGAGCCTCCATGTCCTCCAGCTGTTGCTACACGTGTCGGCTCCTCGACAGTAATCAAGTCTGCCTCGCCAAAAAAGTATATTTCCGCTGTCGGAAAAGCCGGTTCCTTGCGACCAGAACTACCATGGAGGCCCGCTAATGCGCTAAGTACATACATGAAAAAGGAACAACACGGTCGGTCGCTAGTGGTACTCCATAAAAAATCATCGTTCATAAACCGTTATCATGAGTACACTCACGACTATATCACTGAGGATTCTCTACTTGTGCCTACTGCCCACCAAGCCTTCCTGTTGACAAGTAGCCCAATCAGTACGACAGAATTTCGACTCAAGGAAACACTATTTCTCATTTTTACCACTGGTCTAGACGAGCATTGCCATACAGCCCGGATTGGATTCGGCGGCCTCGCGTTCTTGCGATATGCGGAGTATGCAAGTAAAGAGTAATTCCTGCGTCACTTCTTCATGCTGGAAGCCGCAGTCCCGTGATTAGAGGCAAGAAGATCACCATCTCTTTTCTGTAAGAGACCACAAGTCTTTACGCTTCTTTTGCTGTTCATACATAGTATCACCAGCACACACTATGAGGCAACAATGTGAAGTTTGCCTGACAACAAAGTAGACTTATTTTAGCATGCAACGCTGTTCACGATTTCACAGCAGCAGTGGGTGACTTCCTTATCATGTTGATGTACAACATGGTTTCATCACCTATCTATCGTCGAAAATCTAGCACCACGACAAGATGTCACCATAATCCAGCATGAGGTTGTACAACTGCGAAATGTAGAGACCGCGCTGAGTTTCCTCATGGTATTCTTTTTTTCGCAATTCAGCCGCATTCCCGGCGAGCTGCCGGATGCCATTGAGCTTCCGCAGCACTGGACTTACATCCGACGACGGGATCGCACTACCAGGGTCCATATTGCTCGTCTTCGCTTTACTACTTTTTTTTAGGACTGTAGCTGTACTAGGTGGTCGTGTTATCAGTGTAATAGTAGATGTGATCCTTTTTTTTGTGCTTGATGCTATGACCTATGTAGGTGCATCTGATGTGACCGCTCGCGATCAAAATTTAGATTTAGCGGGGCTCTCGCCTCAGCCCTGCAGAGATTGCACACAACTCCCCGTCACTTCTTGCCTTAATATGATCAAACATCAGCCTCCTGATCGTTCTTTGCCTCTAGCTTTCGCTCCATGACGTCAGTTAGTTACAGAATTCAGAAAAAGAAGTCATTGCCTTGGTTTCAGCGACACACACTGCTCCGTGTCCGTAGCCTTTTCTTGCAGGCTGGGTTGTCGGGTTGCACTACCCAGTAACGCGAAATTGCTTGTGTATCCAAGGTCAAAATGAATTTTTGTTTTAAAAAATCTTCTGCGATCTAGACTTACAACCACATAGCGTCCTCAATTACTTAGTGACGCATTGAAGCTCAGACGAGGAATTTTGATGCACGTGGTACAAATCCACCACAGTTTTTTGCTTCGCAATGCGATTTCATTTACGGTATGGTGTCTTGTTCTGATAACATGGATTATTGAGTGACCATTGATGCACCACCTATTTTAGCGAACTACAAAATACCTTGTTTTTTAGACGAAATACCTCTTGAAATTGGGGACGGGAAAATAGCTCTACGCAATTGGATGACACAGTCTCAGCGACAAAAACCGTTTACGATGAAGAAACAAATCGAGTAAACCTATACTATCAATACCTCCTGGCCGCTTGACTCGAGTCATGAAAACACACTTTCACAGACACTATTATCTGCACACTAGAGCTGTCTCTACATCGTGTCGATCTTTACACGACCTTCGAGGTCGTCAAGCTCAAGTACCACACATATGAGTATCGGCACGTAGTCAATCTACCACTGTTTTTTACACGACATCCGAGGTCAGGCGTATATCTGAGACAAGTCCATCCCAAGCTGGACCAACCGCGGTTTTACTTTCTCCTGCACAAGAGGCTCGCCATATTTCAACACCAAAGCCGTTTGAGTCTCTGGCGGCTCACCATCATAGACATAAGCCGACCCTTGCTCTGCTTCGACCTTTTCATTGGAGGATATATTTGATCTTCATTCGTGCTGATGGTTCCTCTTTTTTAGATGCATAAGCAAACTAAACCTACATTGATTAGGTCGTGAATCTATTTGGTACAATAACTAGAAGAAAATAGTCCGATACCTTGTCCACGATTTCGCCTATGACTTCTTTTATAGTCGTGCCCAACGCATATGCATTCGCATAGGTAAGATTTCCTCGCGTGGCTGATCCATAGCAAACCAACGAATACCGCGATCGAAACTGTTCCGGTATTTTTCTTAGAAGGAACAACATTGTTTTCGAAGAAACACTAACAAGATCAAAACGGCGTTGGATGAAGTTTGCACTCTCCTAGAGCTAGGTCGAAAATCAATCCAGCATAATTTCATTTCCAGTGTTTTTTCGACATGCTTTGCCTTGAGAAACTGGATATCGCCCACTAATTCGCGCATTTCGACGAAATTTTCTAGCGCAAGATTCGCAATGGCATCAGCGCTCGGCTTTCGTTGCTCATGGAATGCTTCGAATATCTTTTGCCAGTCCTTGAAGGTGATCTCCGCGATAAAATGAAAGAGAAAGATCAAAAATTTTCAAGGACATCAACATCCCACCACAACTGAGGAGACCAGGGGCTCCCAATCTGTAATGGAGGGTGCTTGGCTTCACAGCGAGGCTGCTGACGTAACTTACTCTTGCTAGTTATCAAAAGCTAGAGATGAAAGAATGATCAAAACGTCTAAAGTAGTAACAGAGATCTATTGAAGATGTTCGCCATAATCTGCTTCTGCGGGAAGCTTTTCCTGCATTATTTGATCCAATATGACGCAGTCTTCGAAACCGCAGTTGCAACCCTGTCCGAAAAAAGGGACAATCGCGTGTGCGCTATCTCCAACCAATACACAGCGACCGTCCAGGTTGAATTTGCTTGTTCTGACTGTTCCGAGTAAGCCGGGAGGCTTCTGGAGCAACTGCTCACAGCATGAGTCCATTCCCCCAGCTAGTGGCACTGCGGTACTGTAATTCTCATCGAAGAACTTTTCTGCTTCCTCCTTCGTTTTTGGCCATGCATCATTGTCAACATAGAGCGTGCCGGTAAACGTACCGCCGCGATCTGCGAGGCCTGGTGAATGTCAGTAGAGGAGTTCATTAGTTGCGAATGAAAATCACGAAAAAAATCAATCACAAAGAAACCGAACCACGACTGTCCAATTAAGTTAATAGAAGCAAAAGAATGAGAGTCTGAAAAGGCCTACTTATTTACCCATAAGCATATGCGTCCGCCGTGGCCAAATGTGAAGAGCAGAAGCCTCCATACAGTAACCGCCTGCCTTGGCTTTCGGGAACATGATTTCCCGATAGCTCTGGCCCAAGATCTCCTCGGTGAACGTGAGGAACCCTTGCTCCTTCTATGTATGAAGTGGTAGTGGTATTGGTTGTAGTTTACTCTTTTAACTTTATGGGGCGACGGGCTCTTCAAAAATGTATCATCTTGCGAATACTATCAAAATTGGACAAATGTAAACCAACCTCAATGCCGTCCCTTGGGAGGCTGCACTGGGCAAGCATATGAATCGATCTGGTCGCTTTTTGATCTTCTTGAAACAAGTAGGCTTCTGCCAAACAAATACTATCCACGACAGTGTGCACATAAAGACTCTCGAGCATAAAAACTGTAGCGAACGCCACTTGGCCCACCATCGCAACCAAACACCGGCACATTGGCTCCCAGATTCACTGCCTCAATGAAAGTGAGCGGGACTAGGCTCTAAGTGACATCACTCTAGTTACCAAAGAGGAAGTGTCCGAAAACGCAAGTCATACGCACCGGAAGGTCAGTCAAGAAAGTAGCATGCTAAAAAATATAATCGAAAGACCTCCTTAGCCTTTACTTTAAAGAACCTAAGTAGCCCAAGAGTAGAGATTGGCACCCTTATAAATACGTCTTTCTCTTTCGTCACCTTAAATAGGCTAACCTTCTCTCAGTGTATCCGTCTCTTTCATAATTTTCAATTCAGTTGTTGTGGTGGGAGCCTTCGCATCGGCGGCCGTTTCTTGCCGAAGATCCTCGCTTGTTCCGTTCTTCGCAACGTCTACCTCAAACACCAAAGTCGTTTTACCTTCGTCTGTCGTGAAGTCCGCTTTCTTGAGACGATGCCCAAAAGCGTTTTAGAGATAGAGTGCTCTTTTACTGTGCGGGAAAAAGCACCCATTTAGACGCTGAGATAGCGGTCACACAGACACTCACACTCTCCTTCGTGGGCAGCAGAGGCAGCGGAGCACAACGGTAACATGATACATCTTCAATCATAATTGAAATTGCATAATATTAATAGGGCCATAATTTACTGTTACGCCCAATCGCTCTGCTTCCCTGAGCAGAAAACAGTTCAACTCGTAGCGCGAAACGCTGTAGTTGCAGTCCTCCTCCCTACCGTATTTCTGGAATACCTGGGTGTGAGTTATCTCTGCTTTTGGTTTGCCGTCTTCGGGTGCCGAGGATGTGTCCTCTGGCGCAGAACTGTTGCTGTTCTCAGGCAAAACTGACTTCTGCAACCACATCGAACGACCGAGGACCTTCACGCTCAGCGCGCATAGCTCCTCCTTGATTTGCAACAGTTCCGCAGCTTTCAGACCTCGACGCGTTACTCTTAGAAGAAAAGACTGAAGTGAGAAAACGCCTTTCCCTTCTTCTGCTTCTTCTTCTTCATCTTGTTCAAATGAAGTAATATTGTTGTCCTATTTCTTTTTACATAGACCCACACAAACCCTTAGCCTTAACATGACCAGATTAATACTGCGTCCCAAGCTCGGAATATTTCGCATATCAGAATAGCGCTCGTAAATGGTGACTTTGAATCGTTTTGACCTCTGAAGCAAGACTGCGCAGAGGCAACCGACAAGGCCACCACCCACAACCACCACCTCATTTTTGGGCAGGGCTTGTTCGGCTGTTGGTGCAGCTTCAGCCATGATGGTTTGTTACTTTTGAAATTGAAGATGTTCTCAATAAAACTACGACTACATCAATCTAATAAAAGACAAGAAGGAAAAGGCGACGAAGAAGATCTGCAGTATTCTAGTGTCCTCTGCTACTTAGGTTAGGCAGCTAATATGCTATCATTTTTTGTTGTAATGAGCAATGAAATCGACCACAGATTTCGGCGAAAAGTTACTACTATTTTCTGGATCTTGTTCTAGCCGGCGTCTTCTTTTGTGTCAAGGACCGACATTGAAGAACATTGACATATCCAACACCCCTTTCCCTTTGCTTCGCACCACCGATCACCAAGCTCGCCTCAGCATTGTGATACAGTCTCAACACTATTCCTCTTCAGTAGGCAGAGTTCTCGCGTTTCTCGTCCTCATCTTTCGAGTTGTACTTCTCCAATTTGCGTGTGCCGCTAGACCAGGCGTCTTCGTATTCGTAATGGCTTTTGGTCAACAACATGACGGTGGGAGTGCCTTTTGCACCCACGTTGCTGGCGCGCATCAATGTGGTTCCATCAAAAGTGCAGAGAAACGCAAAAAGTTTTCCCAACAAGATCTAGTCCACCCTCCTAACATGATTCAGGAGGCTGTTTAGATTTAGTCCACCCTCCTAAGACATTATTCAGCAGGCCGTTGGTTTAGATTTAGTCCACCCTCCTAAGACATTATTCAGGCCGCTTATATTCAGTCCACCCTTCGAACATTATTCAGGCCGCTCTAATCCACCTTTCGAAAGATTACTAGCCCGTTGTTCTAATCCACCCTTCGAACATTGGGTCGCTTGAGTAACCACAGATCCTGGTCCATGTCTGCTGCTAGCGTTCGAAACTCTTCCATGTAAAGCCCTAAAAGTCGACGCCCCGCCACCGATGTCTCCTCTTCATTCTTCTTCTCGCTTACATTAGACTCAACCAACAGAGGACTCACATGGAGAAAACAACTGCTACTCTAGTACCCGAAAAACGAGGTCGTGGAGATGATGCACGTAGAAGTTCTCGCTCTTTCTTTGACGCATTTTATCTATACAACAAGATCATCATCACACTGAGTCATCAAGTGTTATTGTATAGACAAAATGCATCTTCATCTCAATGATGGGCTCGACCACTTTCCATAACTTTCCTCAATCCCTCAGCGCTAAGCTGGTTCGCGGACGCTGTAATTGGAGTCAACGCGGAAGAACCTGCACTGGGCGGCGACGCACCAGAACTTCCTCTTTCAGCAGATGACGACATGGTTTTTTCCAACAGCTTAGATACTGTAAGTATGTATAACAACTAGAAGTAGGAAGAAGGAGTTTTCGTACTTTAAGTAACTTACGATGTATGATGAGAACCACGACAAGGCCGATCTATCAGCATAATTTCAACAACTTGTGGGGCAAGAGAATGGAAAACTCATCCTCCACTCGTGATTTGAAACTTTTAATCTTCTTTGAAATCTATTTCTATTGGGTTTTTTCAGAGAACTCATCGAATAGCAGGAGCCTTTCTGTGATCGGCGCGAGCCGTCTGGGCAAATACCCGGATCGCCTGTCCTGTGCTGATGCGCTAAACATCAAACAAGAACTCTGGTCGCTGGAAGATCGATCAAAGAGCGCTGACTACGAAACTGTAATATGCGTTCTTTCAGAAAAGGATGAGATGGTGAAAGTGGTTCGGATGGTGATGATGTACCCAGCAGCTGCAACTGTCTAGTGCTAGAAGAAGTATAATTATTATAAATCAAGAACTGTGTGGTCGTGGTGAGGAGGTCATCTAGAGTCCTCGTCGTCGTCGTCGTGTAGGCAAGAAGTCTTCTGCACGGGAGTAGACGCAACTGCACACATTGTGACTTGTAGCTCTGTGGCCAGGGATGACTTGGCTTTGTGCACCAATCAATAATATGTGATGCAACTATAGGGCGTGAGATAAGTGTCAGTGGCAGAAAACCGAGTAGCAAGTCAATATCAATTACAATTTATTTAAACAATCAGAATCATTTTCGCGGAAAAGAATAATTTGATTTCTACAACAACTCCTCTTGCGTCATAGTCCTACCACCTCAACCACAGTCCTCTGAAATAATAAGACCTGCTCAACAGAAGTTTTCTTAAATAGTACCACCTCAACTACAGTCCCCTTATGGTGCTACGTCCACAAATAGTCTCCAATTTGTCGACGTTTTGGCATCGAAAAGCCTCTAGGCATTTCAGTACCGCATCGATCGATGCATCCGGAATCGCGTTATAACAGGTGACGCGGAGGCCGCCTGCAAGAGGATGTCCCGACAGTTGGACGACGCTCCACTTTTTTTAGAGTAGACACTGCTTCCACAAACTCACACCTAAGTATTTATTCGCTGCATTCTAAGTATTTATTCGCAAGCCCAGCAAAGTACTTTGCATTCCTTCAAACAAACCAAACCTTCTTGGAACACCTGCGTGGTCCTCAAACAAGGGAAAGATGCCTATCAGGCGTTCGGAACTACATTCGAACCATCGACGAAAATTACTTTTTAAGAGTGAGAAGATGACTTTGACTTTATAGAGGAAAGTCTTGAAGACAATATCTTAGCCATAATTTTCTGCTGCAAACTTGATGCACGCAGATTCCAGAGCCCTATTTTTCGCACGCTTCTCAGGACCGATTTGCGCGGCGCTGCCTCCAATACGGAAGCAGACATTCATCCGGCTCCGAGAAGATCCGTTTTCTGCAGTCACAAGTGGCTGGTAAAATGCACTACTACTAGAAGCAAGAAGTGCCGCTTTGTCTTTGATACTTCCCAGTGTTTCGGGTCGTGATCCTCCTGCCGCGTCCTGCTGAACAGCATCAAAATACGCGTAACATTTCGCTGAGAGCCGTTTCGCCTTATCCTCCATTGCCACCACGCCACCTTTTTCTTCCAGGGCTTCGAGGCATAGGTGAACCAGATGGAGAACCAAAGTTGGTGGCGTGTTGTACAGGTTCTGAATCGGTGAGGAATACGCATAAGAGCGCCAGTCCAGCGTTGGGAACGCTGCTAATTCTATTCGTTTCAGTTCATCTAGCTCATGGTCTTCACCCCCATCAGCGCACTTCTTTGTTGTTCTCGTAGTTTCCCCATCAGAGGATGTACTGAAGAGAGATGTTGTAGTGAACAGATGTTGTGAGGTTGAACCAGATAAAGTCGGCAAAACTACTCCTTGTTGCTGTACTAAAGTAGTTTCTGTTGGGAATCCAGAGGCCGATGAAGACCCGGAAGCACTGGAGGAAGGGGTTCTTGTGGAAGCCGTGGTCTGGGCCCGACCACTCGGACTCAACAATACACTCTGCTCCTGGAGGTCCTTCTCCTCTTGCAGTAGGTCATTTCTTACGATCACCACGCAAATGCCTGGTGGTCCCAGATTTTTGCCGGATGCTGCGAAGATTACACCGTATTTGGACACATCGATCGGTCTGGACATCAGAGTGGACGTTGCGTCGACGACTAGCGGCACGTTCGCGCGATTAATAGCAGCCAAATCCGGTTCCGTCAGGTACTCCAGACCGTGAATAGTATCGTTGAGGCAGAGATAGACGTACGCAGAGTCCTCACGAACTTGCCAAGAGGTAACCGGAGGGGCCTCAGTCTCGCATCGGCAGCAAAACAGTGGTCCAGAGATTGGATTTATGGCTCCAAAAGTGTTACGTGCGTTCAAAAAACGACGGCTCGTCGCTCTGTCCATGATCGTAGATTTTTTGCCACCTGTTCCAGACGAGCAGCTTGAAGATGCTGCACCCTTGTTGTTGACACCCCCTTCGCGAATTACAAGGTCTTTGTTTGATGTACAGAAGGAAGAGGCTAGGAATGAAAAGCAACCGCTGCTGCAACTACTAGTTGTAGAAGATGAATTCGCAGACGACGAACTAGCAGTAGAAGTGGAGTTCATCTCGCTTTTACCGAATGTACAACTAGTTGAAGCGCTTCCTATATATGAGGTGGAGGTAGTACAACAGCCGGTAGAGGTCTCTTCAACGCCTGTTTGCTCTTGAAACCACTCTGGATAAAAGCGCCGCGAGTATGCTTCACCCGCGACTGCCGCCCGACGACTCCAAAACCCGGTATCCACGTATTGAGGAGGCGAGGTCGGTTTTCCTTTCCGGCTTCGGACGCAGAGATTGAGCGCCACCGCTGTGAATTGCGCGTGTCCGCCTCCTGGCATCAGAACAATGTGGTAGTTACCTGGCACTTGAAGCTGATCCCGGATCTTCCGCTGGATGTCCACCATCAAGCTCTGTACCGCTCCTCCTTCGTCGCGGTGCGACAGCTCCATGAAGGCCATACCGAGATTGTTGTAGCTAAACCAGGACTCATGCGCGCGACGGACAGCATCCTCGTCAAGCTTCCCGGGACCGGCGGACAGATTGTGGACGACAACCATGATCGTTCAGAATTTTTCTCCACACGGGACGAGAGAAGTCTGCTGCCGGCCGTCGGACGAGAACGATGAGAGCCGTGAAAAGTTCCTTTCGATCGATCTCCTTCGTTCCGTGTTCCTTGTTGTTGCCACTTGCAGTTGCCGCTTACGTCGCAACGCTACGTCGGGCGGTAGTGACGCAACAGCAGGGGGTGCCTACATGAACATTTTTTCGATTTTCACGACTTGAGAAGAAAGGGCTCTGCGAACCATGAATGGCGCACGAGCTTCCTAGTCTGTTGCGATGGGAAGTGTCGGTAACAAAGATTGTCAGTTACATGGATCAAAAATTGAGAAATCATTCAGCTCTGACCTGAGTAAAGTGACAGTTAGTGAATCACCTGAAGGGTTCAACGGAGCAAAACTGGAGGTCGCATTACATGAAAGTATCTCATGAAGAGGTGGTCATACAGAGTGCTCACCAACTCGCGAGCCAGCTTCTAACCCATGCTCGAGCACGTTTACGAACTTGATCTTGGCTCTCTGACAACAGAAACTGAACCGACCGCAAACCAGAACATAGTCTCTTTTCTCTCGATGTGAAGATCTTCTGCACGTGCGACCGATATCATGGATCTTCTTGTTCTTGATGTACTTAATAAGACCGATGAAGATACTACCTCTTACGTGATTCTCCAGTCACCGAATTGTTATTGGTGAATAGCCTGGAGCGGTCTTTCAAATGACACAAAATCGCTGGTTGAGACCAGCACGGAAGCATGGACGGATATTCTATTATTTTCATTTCGCATAGATTTTTTCATATCATGGCGATTGAGGCATAGAGGGTATGGTTTCATTTGGGACGTCGATCTGGCACACAGTGTGACCTGAAGTGTTTTTGTTTTTCCTCCATCGCTTACTGTAGTTAAAGTAGCTACAATCGCACAGCAGAATAACGAAATACCAGTCGTAGTCTATCTTTTTCTACAAAGGTCGTGTGGGGCCAGTGACTCGGGGAAGTGCTTCAAGGGGTGCGGGACGGGGGCCTCGGTCATCGCCGCGCTTGTGAGGGCTACCTGGGGGTTGTCGTGGCGGATAGCCTGGTGGCGGTGCGGAGACTACGCGGCTGGAAATCCCCATTCTTTGCAGACCTACCTGGTGCGCAGCAGCCTTCCCGAAACGATTCGTCACCCCTGGCGCGTAGATGTCGTCCGAATCGCTATCGTCCTCAGACGGAGAATTCCCTCCTCCCTGATTAGGTCCACTAGTACCACTACCTCCAGAAGTAGAAGCAACTTTTGTGATGGTTATCTTGTTCACTTTGTTTTCGGCACCGGACGAGGGAAGAAAGACCTTGCTGCCACCCTGCACTGGCGCGGCCTCACCCATATTCCAGTCCGGGATGATCGGGCCGGTCGGGCCACCCTTGTTGCCAAACTCATACCGAGATTGTCCAACAGGAGATTCCTTGCCAGGGAGCGAAGGGCCGACTGCAGGTCCTGGAATAGGTCCAGGAGCGGGTCCGACCGCCGGACCCACTGAAGGCCCAACTGCAGGCTCAACCACCGGACCCACTGCAGGTCCAACCACCGGACCCACTGCAGGTCCAACCGCCGGGCCCTGCGCCGGCTCCTGTGGTCTCTGATGCCACGATTGCTCTACTGCTGTAGGTTTGCCTTTGCCTTTGTTACTCCCGAAACCAATACCCGAAGATGCCTGGTCCTTTGCTTGCAATGAGAAGACTCCGCCAGCGTTGCGAGAAGCGATCATGGCCTCTTGTCGCGCAAGCACTTCGTCGGCCAGCGACATTGCTGCATCCTTTGCCGTACTTCTGGTGCTAGAATCTCGGCACTTCACTTCCGTATCATTAGAGGTAGCCGGAACAAAGCGACTGCGCCCTCCTGCGGCTGTTGTTGTTGTACTAGAAGATGCGCTCTTGTCCTTGCCCAGTGCAGAAGTACCGTTTCCACCTCCGACAGCATTATTCTTGCCCTGCTTGCGGTGTGCCGCGAACGCTCCGTGCGACAACGCAAGATCCAAGACGTCTGGCGGAATCATTGCTGAAACGTCAACATCCTTGGCTTCGCCTCCACTAATCTTCTGTACCTCCTTTTGCGCTTCCGCTTGCTGATACTCCAGGGTCTCTACGATGTGCGCCGCGAGCCGCGCGTCGTCCTTGGAATTCTTCGTCAATAAAGTGTAAGCCGTGCCGTCCATACCCGCGCGTCCCGTACGGCCTACTCGATGAGTGTGCGTTTCCACTTTCCGCGCCCCATCTACGCAAACGACGGTGCGAATGCCAGCGATGTCGAGCCCACGAGCGGCCACGTCTGTCGCGATGACCACGCGAAGCCGTCCTTTGCGGAGGCGACCCAGAATGTCTAGACGGTCCGTCTGTTCCAAGTCGCCATGTAAACAGGCGACTGGTGCGCAGTTCGGCAGATACGTGTGCATATGCTTCAACACTAACTCCGTTCGGTCCTTAGAACGCGTAAAAATTAGCGTCTGTCCCTGCGCGAAGATACCTGAATCAATATTACGATTGAATTTCGTCTTAGTTGTTGCAGTCGCAGGAGAGGTATAGAAACGTATGTGAAATAATCAGTTGTTATGGATGTTGGAGAGCAGCTTTTACTTTTAGTCAGTACTTTCAGCATAACGATCTCAAGCGAAGGTTTGTACAAAACCTAGGAAATCTATAAGTGCTATACCAGGCATCGCCTTCGTGATCCAATCTAACTTCGCGTCGTCAGATTCTACGACGACTGGAATCTGTTCTACTGTATCTGCAGACTTTCCGGTTTGTCCGACCATGATACGCACAGCTCGCGTTAGGTAATTCTGCGCTAACATCTCGATCTTCGGTGGAAAAGTTGCGGAAAACAACAAAGTCTGCCTGTCCGGACGCACATTCTTCACAATAGAAGTTACCTTTTGTTGTTGGAAGGTGGAGCAATGAGTTGTTAGAAGGTGGAGCTGAGATGATCACTTAACTTGACAGTTCTCAGAAAAGCTAAAGGTACGTATCTGAAGGTATCCGTGCTTCGGTCCGCTGTCTCTCATCGTATCTTGCGAAAAGTACAGGCACGACGGGGCAAGGCAGAAGGCAGTGAAGAAAGGTCGTTATGTAGGAGATGGAAAAACTACTCGAAGTAGATTGTTGGAAGGGCTAAGCCTTTAGAGGTAAAAACTAACCGGCTGTTTTCTTTTAGTGCTTTGAGCGCCGCTGGACCTAAGCCCCAACCTTATGAAAAGGAAACTACTCGAAATAGAAAAACTTGGCTGTACCTGATATTCGAAGCCCATGTCTAGCATTCGGTCTGCTTCATCCAGTACGAGATAGGTGACGCGTTGCAGCCCGATGGCTTTCATTTTGATGAGGTCCATGACTCGGCCTGGCGAGCCGACCACGATCTCGCACCCCTTTTTACACATTTTGAATTGCTCCTTCTTGCTCAACCCGCCGGCTAACGTAACGGACCGAAGTCCAGCTGATTTCTTTCCGAACTTGTAGATCTCACGTTCGATCTGCACTGCTAAGTCCTGCGTCGGGCACAGGATCAGAGCCACGGGGCCGACTTCCCCCACTTTGAGCGGCACGCCTTCTTGCGACAGAATGTGACCCAGCATCGGCAGCACGTACGCCAACGTTTTTCCCGAACCCGTCTGCGCGGTTCCGATCACGTCACGGCCTTTCAGCGCACACGGCACTGCCTGTGCCTGGATCGGCGTCGGCGTCTCGTAGTCGTTACGGCGCAAGACGTCCATGATGAAAGGGTCTAAACGAAAATGCGCGAACGAGTGGACGGGTTTCGGGATCTCTGCACCCGTGCAGGTGAGACCCAACTCCTTCCGCAAATCTGTCACTTCCTGCGCGGACATTGCGCGCACCAAGCGATGCTCCTCATACAAATCCTTCTCGAACGGAGGATAGTTCATCTTGCTGTGGTCAACCTTCAGATCTAAAGCCTCCAAAGTCTTGCCACTGCCGGTCGCCGAATTCATAGACTCCTGAAGCTCCTCTTCGGTGATATCTTCGCGGCCAGTCTTACGCTTGAGAGCCGCTAGAGCCTTTTGCTCCTCTCGTTCCACGTAGTCCGCAATAGCACTACCACCAATATCGTCCTCCTCATACTCCAGGACGTAGGCTACAATTTAGAAAAAAAGGCAAAGGCAAATTCAAATAACAGCCCAAACTTCTAGTTGCAACTTCTACCTAGTACTTGACGAAGGCATCAACACCATAAAATAACCTAGCTAAAAGACTCAAAGTCAACTTAAACTTATAATTCGGAGTCATAATTTTGTGGTCCTGCATCTTTTTCCAAAGCAACAGCATTCTGTTTCATGAATTGCGCCAGTGGGTCGTCATCGTCGTCCTCATCTTCAACTGCTAACTCTGCGGCACGCTGCTGGTTCTTCTTAGAGCGTTTCTGCACCGCTTCCCACCTCTCTGTGCGAAGATCTTGCGCTAAAAGATCTTCTGGGCGTGGCCGTTTCATAGAGGTGTCCTCACCTCGCGCAGGCTGCAATAAGTGCTGCGGAGTGGATGCAGTAGGAGCCTTCGCCTGCTTAGGCTGCTGTTGACCAAACGAGAACCCTTGGAAACTACTCATCCTTTCAAATCTTGTTGGTTCTTCTTCTACGAGATGATGGAGGCAAAAATCATAACACACAAGTCTAGAACAACAAAAATCGTGTTTATAATTTGTTCGACTAAACTATCGTAGCTATTCTCACATCGAATCACTCATTTCTAGGTCTACGCTTTACTCATTTCTTCTGCTGAAAGCCACAAGAAAAACTTCGCCACGAATCCTGAGCAGAGTGGGAAAAATTCTAGATGATAGAGTTATTGAAAGCTATTAGTAAAGGGTCCCAGCAACTTCTTGTTTCCGTCGAACCCGTGTAACTACTGACATCACGAGAACCAGCCAGGATCAGTACTTGTATGACCAGGGGAGCAGCTGTGATCAAGCGGAAGGAGTGTCCTATTTCTGAGCGTCCTACTTCTGAGAGGACCAACTCTATAAGAACGAGCATTTTCCTCAGCGACAAGCGGTGGCCTTCCAAATTGTCATTCGAGTGAGTCTGCCACTTCTGCATCTGCTATTGGTTGAACACGTCTTTAACTTTATGAGAAAGACGAGGTGGATTTGCACCCACCTGCTGAGAATATTGTCATTGACGAGACGGAAAAACGATGTGCGGAACAAGATGAAATTGGAAAAAATCGCGCAGATGTCCTAGGAAAAAAGGAAACAAGCCGATGTATAGGTCACCTGTAGTTCTTCAAGGTAGAATATCCCGATGAACATATGCCCAAGCGTATCGACAACTACATGTAGCGGGTAACATGTATTCGAAAAACTGAAATAAGCGAGTAACTACTTAAAATAAGGGAGATGCTGAAAGAAGGGGAATGTAGTCAAGACTCTCTTATTTCAGTCAGTAACTCGCTTATTTTGAGTATTCGAGTAGGCAACATGTCAGAGTCATCAAATCTATGTTGGCGGAATCCTGCACACATAAGCTGGCGAATAACCCCAAGACACCAAAATTTCGGTCTCCTCTAAAAACTCCACGTCAGGCAGTTTATTTTTCAGCGTGACGATTAGGCATGAGGGCGGCAAGCGATTTGGTGCTTAGAAAAAAACGAAGAGGAACAAAGTGGTGAGTTAAATACAAGAGGACGGACGATGAACAGGAACAAGAGGACGGAAGATGAGTTTTGTTTGACATAATTCGACGAATTCTTCTTGTTTTGCTCCCCACAAGAAGAAGATCAAACTTGAATTATTCCATAAAGAACCTTGTGCCGCAAATCGTACAAGAGCTCGGGACCAAAAACGGTGCTTGCCACGTATACAAGCTTCGTATCAGGTGGAACTACACAATCGCGCACATCCCCTAACTGGAACTCGATCACTTTAGACGGTGGGTCAATGAGATCACAATCTGTAGTTTTAGTTTTTTGCAACACGCATGGACGTGCACGTGGCATGGATGTGCTATCTAATTTACACCTTATACTCATTTTTATCCAGAAAGCTACAACTACAACTAGTAACTCTCGTCCCACTCCATCTCCAACGAAATATTTAAAGAAAACCCAAGAAGATTCATAGCATTGGGTAAGCGCATTTTCTTCGACAAGCGCTGCGCTAATTCGTGTAGACCGGGAAGTAGCTCCACGCCAATGCATTTCCGGAATTGCCACTGGCACAAGGTCGCCAGAAAACAGGCCTTCCCGGTCCCACATCCTAAGTCTACAAACGACCCTGAGTAGCAATTTTCATCGACGACGCGGCCGCCTGATCCCCCATTGAATGTCGTCCTGAGTCGGTCGTGAAAGGGCGAGCGCGGCAGAGCTGCTCCTGCACCAACATCTTCGGATGAGTTGATTTTGTTCATGCCACTAGTTGTACTTCTAGTTGGGGTTGATGCACCTCCTAGTAAAGACGTTGATGATCCCACACTAGTTGAATGGTGCGAAGGCGATGTGACGTCATTGTCACTACTACACTTATTCTTATCGTTGTAGTCCTCTGTAAAAGCCGACCTGCGTTTTCGAACAGGTGACGGCGTTCCTGGCTCAGTTGCTGAAGAAGCGTCGATTTTGTCTGCCCTGGTCTCTTCCTTGATGTCTTCCTGCTTCAGATTATCTTCCACTTCAACCAGCTTGTTAGATTTTTCCGCATCGCTAGAGTGGTACGTCTGCCACAGGCGGTTCAGGAACTGGAGGAAGGCGACGTCGTAGATTTCGCCGTAGGTGAATTCTGTTCGAGGGATGTCTAGGAAAACCGTGTCGGTCACAGATTGCATCACCGAGTAGCTAAGCTTCAGCATCTGGAAGTATGGCCGCAGAAAGTCGATCACGACTTGCTCTTTTTTCGTGAGCACCTCTCGTCGATGCTCTTCGGACGGACAGCCGCATGCACAGATGCCACTCACGGCCTCATTTTTCGCCCGTTTCTGTATTAGCGTGGATGGTGCGATCACAGTATCCGCCGCAGATGCACAGATTATATCACTGCAATCACCTCCTCCATCGTCACCTGCTCCTCGACGAGCAGTAGTTGTCAGACTTTTTCTACCAGAACTACCCAACTGACCTGCGACGTCCTTCGGACCACGCAGCGGGGATGATATGCTACTGCGGCCGCGTGGGGGAGAGCTAGGGCCACTAGCGCCAAGTGACTGCCGCCGTGTCCGTGTCGGCGAGGTCGTTTGCGCTAAGGCGCTCTTGCTCGAGTTCGCGACAAACGTTCTCTCCTCGTATGCGTTGATGCTCTCCAGTATATGAGAGAGAACAAAAAAATAACAGTACGAAGATCGATCGCACGATCTTCCCTACAAACAACTTACTTACAGCTCTTCGCGTATTATGTTGATCAAGTTTACGAGAAAAACTCGTTGTCTCTGCCATCCAAGCAACAAGGAGTGTACACGTAGAGGATAGGGAAATCGAGATCAAAGCTCAGTAACCAACATTAGGATAACGATAGTCTTCTTCACATTATTAACCATAACCAATCACATAAATAAAGTATCTATTTATCATGAAATCGTACCCTATCAAGCCTGTGAACATACAATATGCAGGGCAGCACCTTCGTGGTTGCTAAGTCCCGTTGCTGCTCTTCCCAGCAGAAGTCGCCGTTGTCGAGGGCGTCCGTATCTAGATTGTCAGGAATGAATTCCAGACATTCGCGGTCTTCTGCTCTGCATTTCAGGCAGATCGACCGCTCTACTCCGGATGGATCGCGCATGCTTCGAAAAAATCAAGTATAAGAAGTACGTCTCATAGTAATTACAAATGAATTTTGTTTCCCCCCCGTTATGCCATATTATTGAAATAACTGCTGGTGCAGTTAGAAACAACTTGGGTCGGTTCAAGACCTCTTTGGATTTAGATTTTTGGTATAGTTGCAAGTCTTGACATTTTGACAGTTAAACCTTTTTCAGGGAGCTCTCGTACATTTTTCTTTCACGCTTCTATTTTCAAAATTACTTAGCTAAAAATACGGTTTCTTGCGCTCGCATTCACGTTCTGCTATTACCTTTTTAAGATACGGCCATGCTAAATGAATTCCCAACTTCACCGGTATTGTCTTGCCAACTTTTGGTATGGTCCGTCTTACAGCTTATTCCCACTTGCAAGGGTTATTGCGATCCTGCACTTGCCTTTGCGCCGAATCGACAGCGTCTTCCGGAGAGAATCCGACTAGGGGTGGCTTTGAGGAGTACCTTCCATCTCACTTTTCTAAATCGAAAGTGGCTTTTCATATCCGTGTAAAAGGCGGAGAAGTTTCGATCAAATGTTGGGTTAAGGTTGTGAGGAAGAAGTATATGGCCTTAGTGTTTCAGATGCTGGTTAACGTGCAGTGGAGCAGCAGCCAGGTCTGAAAAAAGTACCTTAATTTGACTCGGAGTGACACGCTCACTTGATCCTTATTGTAAGATAAGCGATCATGAATGATGAATTTCTTAGGTAAGTACCGTTATCGATCTACACAGGCAAGTTGAATTTATTTGTTCCAGCAGCTACTCTTCTATAATGGGGCTTACTAACAGCAACAAACTTGGCAATCTTCACTGATTATCGTAAAATAAACAGCGGAAACTACATTTGAAACGATTTAACATTGATGTTGTATCAGATAACACAAATACAGTCGAGGAAACGTGTATAATTGAGTAGAACTCTTGATAAGAAAACGTGAAAGAACGTAACAACCTTGCAGGCAATTAGCAGTGAAGCACCATTTTGCACTTTTCCCGCCATTGTCATTCTCATACTACAAGTTGAAAACAATAATTAACAGACGTCGGTAACGGTAATATTGATAATCTTACGACAAAAGCTTAGATAAATTTGGGACGAAAGAAGTGAAAACTACAGACGGATTCTCTTGTGATTTTTCCTCACCAGCATGTAAAAATCAATTTCTATCATCTCATCAACTGCAGCATATCAACATTTCTCGGTATAAAAAACAGTGCGGCGCCGGTAACTACAATATATAAAGGTGATCAGGTTAATATTAGGAAGTAGCTACTTCTAGTAGGACGAGGATACTCACAGACCACTCTAAATAAGTATCCGAATGACGACACTTGCGAGTGGCATCCACTGAACCAAATGTCGTCACCAGACACGACACCAGATAATTTATCACCTAATCTGCTGCTCAGTGAGGTGAGGCATGAGCCCTATCGTGCTCCTGAAGGAGCAGTTTTCCAGCTGCTTTACTCTGCTCCTTATCCTTGATTGCCTGTTATTTTTGAAGCTCGATATACTTCTCGACTTAGACTTTATCGTATTCACCTCTTGTAACATTTTCTTGTTCTTATGAAGATGCATGGTGAAAGGACGAGAAATGGGAAAAAATTACACTCATACTTTAAAAAAATAGTAATACTTCACGAAGTAGATACTCAAATTATATCAGTATATCTAGTACCTTCATTTCCTCCGCGTCCGCCATCACCCGCTTGTCAAACGCTTGAAAACCGAAGAATAGGCAAGTCGAAGTCATTAGAGCACTGCACAACTAGAAACAAGACGGGACGCGTAATTGATGTTCATTGATTCGTGCACTACAAGGTTAAGGTTGAGGTTGAGCTTAAGAATCAAAACCGCTCCTGTGATAACTGGAATTTTTGCGAGAGTACTTGAGACCTCCTAGAACAAGATCCTAATTAGCAATGCTATCATCAAATAGATTTTCTCCATAAGATGAGAATTCCGCATAGGGCTAGCCAAAACGCTTCTGCTGCATTTCCCTCATTCTTTCCTGCCGCGGGCGCGGGTGGATCCGTTAGCATATTCAATAAGCTTGTCCGCAAAGCAGTTGATTATTAGAAAAGTCAAAGAAGGTGGTCGTCGTCGTCGTCGGTATTATTTTGTATGAAGTACTCCTCCTTTTAAAACATGAGGCGAGCAGGGTGTTCATCTGCGAACCTCATTATGTTAGGTACATCACGACAATTCTGCTTCTGAATCGTTTTCGAATTAGAGAGATAGGATTTTTCAGGGTACTAGACTCAATTGTAAGCAAGTTCATCATAACGCAAGGCTGCAGTGCCAGACAACGCAGCAGTCGTGCACATATTTGCAAGTACAGGAGACCACACTTTCAATGTCCACGCGCTAAAACCTGCTTTAATTTCAAATGGAGAAGATGTGCATTTAGAATCGAGTTTCTCTTGCAGTTTATTATAAATATTCTAAGACGTGAGTCAGTTTGTGTTTCTTCGCTCAAATATAAGCTTCTGTAAATGAAGACTTCTAACGTTTTTTGACGCTAATTTTCCTTACCTCTTTCCTCAGTCGGTCCGACTCCCAGAACCAAACCGTAGCACGTATTTTCATCGGCTGTATCGATACTTAGCGGCGCATACAAAACGTCATTCACATTTCCGGACACAAGACGTTGCATTTCACTTTCCTTCAAGTATTAATCATCATTTAGGCCTTCAAGGCACAAGAAACTTATTCTTATGTAGGCCTTCAAGTATTAAATCTTACTCTGCTTCTAGCACAACTTCTGTCGAAGACCGAAGATTATACTCACTATCATCAGTCAAGCAAAATAGTGTTCCTGTTGCAAGGGTACACTGTTGCCCAAGAAGCGATGGTTATCACAGAGAAGCTTCGTAAAAAGCAACCTACGAGCAGTTACGAATATAGAAGTATTCGAGTTTGCCATACTACAACCACATCGTTGTTGTTGCAGCCTGTAGCCGTGCACGGATGCGCGGTAATAGCTGCTGCAAATTTGGTTTCGTTGGCTACACGCTGCGATAGCAACGCCAACAATGCGTCGTTGTCATTTCTTCGCACCGTTCTATCGAAGTACAGGCCGCCAAGGAACCATGAAAGGGGGCTTTGTGACGACGGACACAGAGAACGAAAAGCGGGGGTATTATGTTCAGGCCACGCATCTACGCGAGAAAAGCAAAGCTATGCTGTAGTGAGAATCCTATGCTTGCTGTACAGTTGTACATGATACATTTTCGCCGTCGCGCTACCTTGGTCTGTGAAATGATATCAATCTTCACAAATTCACAGCGACCAGAACATCGGGAGTTATGATCTTCATAAAACTTCTTCTGACACTAGACTCGGACAAGTTGCGCTTCCGAAGGAAGGCTGCGGTGAGCTTGCCGAGACGGTTCGTCCGGCAAACGGCATAGCCGTGTAGAAGTTCGAGGCTGTGCAGTCCGCTGGGCCAGTAGCCGTCGTCGCGTTCCCCACACAATACGAATTGTACAACCCATTCGAGTTTTCCGGGAAGACGCCGACTCATTAGATCGTGAATCAGGATTCATATTACATCTAAAAAGTTGTCCTAGTTGTCCTTGTTAGATGGTGGCTAAAATTATATGGCATGAATATCTTTGTAATTCTTTGCTTCTTACTTCACGCGGACGAAGAACAACATCTGACTCGTCTAGTCGTGCTATGAAAATGCAGTACTAAAGTCTGGTTGTTAATGAACTCCGGTATTTAGCAACAAAGGAGTGTTCCCAGGTCCTTTGCCTTACTGCAGTCAAGTACGAGTGCTACTCAAGAACTTCAGAGTCGGGTAGTAGTCCAAAAAAGCTATCTCAGCTAGTGGTCTCCCATAGTATTCTAATTCTGAAATTGCTGCAGAGAGCTGTGCGTCCTTTGCTTTTACTGCGGCCAGGTGCTGGGCGAAGGTGCCTCCTGAACCTGTAAAGGTGGTCGCGAAAGCCAGGCCAAAGCGCGTTGACAGGCAGTGATGCAAGTCCTCGTTGCTTCCCGCTGTTTGTTTAGTATAGAAAAAGTCGACTTTCAATCTGCTTTTTTCGTTACTTGGAAACATTGAAATACAACTATTTTGCAAATAATAGGGAGTACTAACGATCTCCGAACCATCGAGGGAAATTTTCAGCCGGCTAATTTACTTTATGTGCATTGAGATACAAATACTCAAATAGGCATATAAACTTAAGGCTATTCCAGAAGCATCATGATGTTTTTACTAGATTTATTTAAAGCAACCCAGAAAAATGTATAGTACGATCATCTATGTCGTGTAGGTTGCGGTAGCGGCTGACAGCATCTTTTACGTCGAAATTCGGATCGCAATAACAGGCGTAGGCTGCTGTGGAGTCGGCGTTTCCCTTGCTGGAAGCGACTACACGAATATTTTTTCCGGTAGTGTTGTTCCAAGTAGAAGCACCTGCGATCGCGCCCTTCATAAAAGTGTCGCCGTAGTGCGTTCCGTCTACAAAAAGCCGCAGATTTCGAAACTGCACACTGCTGCCCATCAAAGTCTGGAACAATTCATACCTGATCGTCGTTTCCCTAGAATTTTTCAGCTCTCTCTCGTTAACCTTTAATTTCTCCACAAGTTACTTGCATTCAAAATCAATCGCGTGCCTATTTTCCAGTTACCCTAAGGAAGTCTGCTTAGTACGCAGGCGATCAAAAGAACAATCAAAGAATCAAACATGCACCAATTCAAAGCATGGTAGTACCCCCAACCTCTCGTACCTCATCAGGAAATGAGAAAATTTCAGCATGACAATACCCGTAAAGGACGTTCTTGCTTCCATCAAGGCGAACCACGTCGAAGCCGGTGTCACCTGCGAAATACATGAGGATGTTGTCGGTCGCAGTGCTCTGAAGAATTTTTGGCGTCGCCACACCAGGGTCATAACTTCCTGTCAAAACCTGAAATATCAACGCTTGAGTCACCTTTTCACTCCCAACCCCGTAGTCAGCCTCGCAAAAGGCGTCTGGCGCAGCTAAGTCCGGATATACTGGATAATTTCGAAGAGAACCGCCGAATGTGAGGATCTGTGGAGGTCGTGGTGGAGTATTTACAAAATAGAGGTGGAAAAAAAAGAAGATTGTTTGCTTTTTGGTACTGTGATTTGTGGAGGTAGATTCAACAACAAACTGAACTTCTGTCCCAAAACATAACGGAGATCGTTCGGTGTCAAGAGTACGAAATCCAAGTTTGATAGGATAATTCGAGAACGTCTGCGTACCTTGTCTTTGTCAACACCACCCGAGATGAGCAGCCAACGTATTCGACAGACAACGGACATGTACACCGGAAGGTCTCCCGCAAAAAGTACATACCAATCCGCGGCAGAAACGCCGAGAGGCAAAGCTAGAAGTACTAGAAGTGCTGCTGAGCAGAGTGCCCGTACTACTACTAGCTGCGAAAGAAAAAAGTTCATCCTAGGCCTCGTTTTTGTAGTCGCGGCTGATTCTTTTTGGCTGCGAACAGTAGTGGCGAGGGTTCGTTTTGTAGTAGTACTAGATAATGCGTTCTTTCCTTCGCCGAGCAATAAGTCAGTACAAGTTGATGCGGAGGTTGAGACGAGGCTACAGAATAACGTCGATGCCTGTTTTTTCACTTCGCAGACACCGAAATCTATTGCCGGCCGACGAAAGAAACTACTACGAGTTGAGCGAGAAGAGCTACTATGTGATTGCTCTTGTGGTACCAAAGCCAAAGATGTTTCTTTACTTCTGCAACTATTCTGACTTGAAGATGACTCGAGGACAGGGCTCGTCGTTTTCGTAAACCAGCGACTGGGATAACGGCCTGGCGGATCTCGTTCTGGGTTCACAGCAGAAGGTCTCGCGTCTTCTAGTAGAACGCTGCATTGTTTTACCATATTTTTGGCACTGCTACATTCTAGGTTTTCACCAGCAGAAGTCGTGCACGCTGTTTCTATCCTCGTACTTCGTTGCGGTCGCGACGAAGACATCGCGCAAGCGCTTATTCCTATCGTCGGAGGCCGGTTTTGATTCAGCCACGCCTCTTTCGGCACCCCCATCTTTTGGCCCGGGGTAGCCAACCCTGTGCGACGTCCACTACACAATACGTCTCTCTGCGTCACGTCGTACAAAGATTGTTAGTTTTTTATATCATGTTTATTCAGAATCAGATTCTGATTTCCTCAGAACAATGTTCATGATGTCGTGTTCGAGAGCAGTACTGTTGATGAGGCAGCTGTTTTGAGAATCTAGTTTTACCAAGTGGATATGAGCATGATGAATATCGATGAAAATAGTAAACCGCAGTTCGTGCTTACAACATGAACATGCTAAGTACATCGTTTTTTCTCAAGGAGACCACGAATTGGCACGAAGGTAAAATGAGGCACTTTTCTGCGGGTGTGTCTCACTCTCGCCTCTGTCCCCTTTACCATCACAGCACTCGAAAGGGCTCCCTCAAATGTTTGTCCGTCTGTCTTGCTCTCGGTTGACCGTCACCAAATGCAAGGCAACAATATCACAAGTGCGGAGATAGAGAAAGACACTCTTGATCTGTCTCGCTGCATCAAGGAAAGAGTATACAACTGCTGCGCATTCATTGCACCACGTCTTAAATGTCCTCTGTGGTGTATTTGATGTCCCAAACTCATCAATCATCTAGCATTGAAGATGTGTTTTCTATGCAAATATTAAATCATGCGTAATGTAAATATTGCGTGTTGTGATGGCCTTCTATCTTGATTTCATCTGGCCGCATTGTCTCTGTTTTGTGGTTCTAGGTAGTACGATCCTTTACGCAACGACCGCACAAACGCGTGTACGCGACGATCACGTCACTACGCGCGCTTATGTCTGTAATAAGTGGAAACGAGAGTGAAGATTAAACTTTTTGTATCACGACCGGTGTTCCGTAATTTGAAGTTTGTTGTTGTTCTTCTTTGTATACTATAGAGTGTAGTTCCGTCCGTATTAGGTTACAGAGAAGTGCCTCATTTCCTCATCTCTCACTTATTTGTATGGCTATGCTTTCAAGAAAACAATGCGATGCATAAAAATATGTTTTTCTTCTTCTTCTTCTTCCGCCTTCTTCTTCTTCTTCTTCCGATGCGTGTACGTGTGAACTATGAGGCGATTTTTGATTACCGAGAATATTACTTCCATGTTAAGTATACTATGCCCTAAGAAAAATGATGTACAAGGATAAGGTAGACAAAAATGAATCCCTGCAATTAGGTGGTTCTCTCTGTCTACTTGAATCGAGTGCATTCGACAGTTTGAATGAAAATGGAAGTAAAAGACCCCCTATCTGCAAAATCAGTATACAAGTTAATGATCTTTTGACCAAGGTCAAGAATACACGGCAGCTGATGCTATTCGATTTGTAACAAAGAAAAATATAGAACTCCATTATGTTCTCGAACGCCGCACCAAACGAAGTCAAGTGCTGCACACATAATCGAGAGGGACGTGAACATGGAAGCGATGATCTCTGAGAGAGAGAGATAGAAAACTGTGATGTTTTGACTTGATTGATTGATCCGTCTATGCATCCACCCCTTTGGCAGCTTCATCCTCCACCTTCTCTGGAGCGGCCTCATCCTCCACCTTCTCTGGAACGGCAGTATCCTCAGCTGCTCCTTCGTCCGCTGCCGCAGCGACGGCTGCAGCTCCTTTCTCCGGCTTCTGTTGCTCGTTTTCGGCGACATCAGCTTCGCTGTCGACGGCTGCTTGTTGTAGTGGCTGCTGATCTTCCACAGGTTCTGCTGGAGCAGGCTCTTCCGTTACAGGAGCATGCTCAGCAGAATGATCGGCATCGATTGCTGCTTCCACCTCCTCCACTTGAGGAGGTACAGACTTTTCTGTAGAAATCGTTCCTGCGTCTCCGGTCTCAGCTTCTTCTGCAGGAGAAGCAACGCGCTCTGTAGAATCCATAGACGTTGCTAGTACAGGAATGTCCTTAGCAACTTCATCAGCCTCCTTCACGTTCTCATCAGCGGTTTTCTCTTTCTTTTCCTCAACCAGCTCCTCCGCAGCCTCCTCTAGTTCTGCGACCTTCTCCTCCTCCACTTCTGCGGCCACCGCCTCAGCATTGTCTTCCTGCTGTTCATCTACCTCGCCAGGCTGAGCAGCAGTGTCGTTTTCGGCAGTTTCAATCGGCTCTTCAACAACGGCTGAATCGAGCCCTTGTTGGTTAACATTTTCGTTTGGCTTTTCCTCTACGGCGACCTGTTCCATGATCTGTTCTTCATTCATGCCATCAGCGAGTGCTTCCTCGACAGGAGCAACCTTCTTTTCTTCAGCGATGTTGGAAACCTCTTTTGCCTCAACATTTTCGCCGACCTCGGACACGACAGCGTCCTCTTCTTTAACGCCGGTCTCGACAGCGCCAGCGGTGTCTTCAATTTGTTGTTCCTCGATTCCCTCTTCCTTGTGTTCCTCTGCCACCGGTGCATCGTCTCCGAGTGGTTCAGCGTCAACAAGTGGCTCAGCGTCGACAATTGGTTCAGCCTCAACGACAGGCTCGCTCTTCTGGTTGCTGTTTTCAACCGCCTCTTCCTCCTCTGCAACGTTTTTCTCTGCACCATCGTGGTCAACAATCTTCCCTCCCTCACCATCCTGGACAGCTGCCTCGGTTGCAGTTTCACCGCGGTTCTTCTCAGACTTGACTTCATCGTTCTCGACAACAGCATGATCTTCGTTCTCACCAGCTGCAGCAACCTCTGTTTCGATCACTTCCGTTTTTTCCTCGTCTTCGGTCTTGTTAACATTGGCTTCGACCTCTTGTTGCTGCTCCTCCGACGCGCTCTGCTCTTCTTTCTCTTCATCGCACGCTTTCTGCTCCGCTTGTGTCTCTTCCAGTACAACGTGATGTTCGGCCTTCTTGATCTGTTCAGCGTTCTCGACTTCTCCATCGTCAACCTTTTTCGCGTCCTCGATGTTCTCAGCATCATTGTCATCCTCAACCACGGGACTTTCCTCCACGACTTTATCTCCCGCGACAACGCTGGCTGGACTTTCCGCAACGATTTCAGCACTTGCCTGCACAGCTCTTTCCTCGGCTTCTGCCACGTCCTCCTGCTCAAAATCCTCATCGGCAGCATACTCCTCTTCTTCCTCTACGTCTGCTTCTTCCAGTACAACGTGATGTTCGGCCTTCTTGATCTGTTCAGCGTTCTCGACTTCTCCATCGTCAACCTTTTTCGCGTCCTCGATGTTCTCAGCATCATTGTCATCCTCAACCACGGGACTTTCCTCCACGACTTTATCTCCCGCGACAACGCTGGCTGGACTTTCCGCAACGATTTCAGCACTTGCCTGCACAGCTCTTTCCTCGGCTTCTGCCACGTCCTCCTGCTCAAAATCCTCATCGGCAGCATACTCCTCTTCTTCCTCTACGTCTGCTTTCTCTCCCGACGAAAGCAGAGATGCAGCCGGAGACGCGTCGGTCGCAGTGGTAGGGCTCTCCTCATCTTTTGGGGAAGCCTGCTCTCCTTTTGCAGTAGTCTCTTCTTCTTTTGCAGTAGTCTCTTCTTCTTTTGAAGCACTTTCCTGTTCCACCTCATCTGTTGAAGCACCTTTTTCTTTTTGGTCCACTTGAATATCAGAGGGCATCGTGGTCTTCTGCTCTTGTTGTCTAGATGTTGAGGTTGTGACGTCTTCTCTCCTTGTGACGTCAATGGCATCGTCGATCGTGCAAGCACCTCCCTCGGCAATCCGCTTCTCCTGCACTAGGGCGCTAATGTGCATGGCCATAAAATTTAGTGCGTCTTTGGGCTGGGCATCCAATAGGCAACGGACCATGCTCTGCAGTGTCGATTGAACCGCGTTGTCATCGAGGTATTTCGTCGCTGCCAGGGTTGCGGCATGACGGCTCTGCCGAAGCTTTGATCGGGGCTCGCGCTTTATGAAAGAAGTCTTAGGCAGTACACAAAATGAATGTGCACATGAGCGATAAGTAATTAAAATAATAATCATAAGTTGTTCCCCGGATGTAAGAATAGTATTGGTCTTTTTACTTCCGCATGAGCGATAAGTAATTAAAACAAATTCAAATTTTTGTAGTTCCTTTCCTAGAAGGCAGCAGGTGGACATTTACCTTTACAACTACGTATATTATGAATCTGTACAATAAATGAGAAAGTACGACGAGGAGTGACTGCGCGAGTCTCCGAAATTTTTAAGCAGTCTCCTGTGTGCTAACTGTAAGTACAAGAAATTCCTTGTCCACGTGAAACATCAATCATCATTACCATTTCTGTTCCTAATGGAGGACTCATCGTTGGTTTTTTTTGAATTTCTTTCCGCTTCCACAACACTTTGCTCCCATAAGCATTTGCAGGAGACACTCACTCCGCCTGGTAGCGACACGCGCTCCACATGTCCCTCGTCACTTTTCAGCTTGTACCTGGAAAAAGTCTCTCAGTAGTTCTCTCTAGGACATGAGAAGACGACAAAAATTTCACATCAACAAATACAAGTTTGATCACTCTCTTCTTAAGACGTTGGTTAGCTTAGCTTTTTTTTGATTGATTGGCATCCCTAGTGATACTCCTAGATCACCGGCGGTTATGAATGAAGAATGATATGAACAACACGACACTGCCTTAGTAGTACATGCCCACGGTCGTCCCCCCAAGATATTGGAATAGGTCCACTTTCATCGTGGCATGCTGAGAGGGTGCGAAACGAAACGTCTCGTTCTCCCGGTAAGGGCCTTGACGTCTAGTGTCGCCAATGCGAATCGATACGTAGCTCCCCTCAGGCAAGCCGTCGGCCTCGGTGACAACAATGTCCATCTTTCTTGATTTGTATTGATTGCAGAATGCAGATTGTAGCCTAGAATAATTTAAGAAACTGTATTAATGTGAACCATCATCATCATCATCATCATCATCATCAACCTGTACTTATTTTCGTGTGTAGGAGGAGGACAAGAAAACAAGAGATCCTATAATATAGTCGTCGTCTGTTTGTGTACATAATCTGCGGAACGTAGTGGGAAGTCCTACTTGGAATTTACGGGTAAAATCTTTTCAACTTTATGAACATGGATCTCTATCTCTAGCGAAATCGAGAACGACGACACTTCGGCAAGAGAAGGATGGGGATCGATACTTTCAACGAAAAATGTCTGCCTGGTATAGTAGAAGCAAGGTGAGAAAAGCTTCTTAGCTATTTATATTTTCGATATCTCGTATAGGTATCGAATCTATTTGAATACCCTGAAAGTGATGTTCTAGTAAATGACTCCAGATGCGGAGAGCCGATCAGTAAGAAACGGATTACACAAAAAAACATCGAGAAGCACGTGAAAACAGACTGAGATAGAGAAAGCAAAAAAAAGTTTGCAAGCCAGAGAGAAATTTTCAAAAACGTAACCTTACACAGAAGTAGTGGGAAAAATACATGGCTGCCTTACACAGAGGGGACGTAATTCGCTTCATACCGATGTTCTTCATTTACCTGCCCTCTCATTTTGTCGCTCATCCTTTTTTGGTCGGCCAAAGAGCAACCGCCTGCTACGATCACAAGGTTATAATGTAGAGCGAGAAGATGAGATGAGTTAGCTGGACAGGAATATTGAGGCTAGGTTGGTAGATGACTCGCCAAGACTAGGTCGGTCAGTCATAGAATCTTTTCTACTCACACAGCAACGACAAGACTTTCCAGTTTTATGTTCTATATTTATGGCTCTTGCTAAGCAATCACATTGCTACCCCTCCAGGGTAGAAATGACAGACGCGTGCTGCTCACAATGGTCATCGCAGGTACTCGCTACACAGAAAGACGCCTGCCTCTAGACGCAGAGAAGAACACATTCTTGAAATTCTCCAGGCGCCACAGCGCACGGATGTATATTTTAAGGATCTACATCTGACGGCGCGAACCTTTTCGGCAGATTGCCTAAGATTTCCCTGACGATTTCTACGCGCTAATCTACTTGGTTTTCAACATAGTCTACATCTATTCCTATGAAATAACACGCCCAAATTGATGTTCTTTGATTCTATCATCATATCCAGAAGCCACTGCCCAAAACCGGTCATGGTTTGCATGCAAACCCACTTAATTTTGCACCCGAACAATAAGCCAAAAAATCGAGAAAAAACTGTTGTTCCGAGAACAAAAGAGCGTTTGGTTACTAAGCAGCCTGTTGCGGACAGAAGCCACTGCCATCAACCGGTCATGGTTTGCATGCAAATCCATATATCTTACAGATCCACATTCACAGAGCGGTTAGTGTTTCCGAATGAAATTTTAGGACGCGGTGAGAGCGCTTTCCTGGCCACTGCAAGTCCCTCTTACAGCGTAGGTCCAAAAGTTTTTCTGCACAGGCAGAGTACGCCCTAAGTATACCACCTCATAGCCTCAGGCTGCAAGTGCTTTCCTCCGTTAAGCCCCGCTCGCTAGCAGCATTTTACTTCTCTTGGCTGGTGGAGAATCACCATCAGCCGCATCCATATTCGAGGCGCCACTTTCACTATCAGCGCTTTCCCCCTCGTGGGTGAGTTGTTTCATCATTTTATAAAGGCCCCGATCTTTCGGGTCGCAGGTCATGCCCGACTGTACGGCGGTAACTACTTGGCGAAGCGGGGCATGCAGCTTTTGCAACCGGAATTTTTTGGGTTAGCAAATGCGACCACTCCTGGACGCTTTCGCCACACTCGTACTCGAGAAGACACCGGGGCGAGCATTCGGCTGACGCCTGATGCCTTTTACGAGTGTAAGCCCAAAACTCTGGCCCGAGATGAGCATGCTCAGTGCGTATGCTTGAATATGGACGAAAGCACCATCAAACGCGTGGCGAGTAATCGCAGAATTGTTGGCGTGGACCAGCGTGATCGTCTGGACGCGTCTGCGCTGCATAATCCATACCCCGCGCATCAGTTCAATTTTGGGCGCTGCGAGACCAGTGACCCGCTGTCTCCTGTCTATCCGCGTGCGAGCGTGGTGAAGTGCTCCAATGTGGAACGCGAAGTAATTACTCTTCGACTATTTTCCTGCTCAGGAGCTGGCTGGAACTTGGTTCGATTTTCTACTGCGGGTTGGTTTTCGTGAGTCGAGAACCAGCCTCGTAGAAGGGGCGCCTCGAGTAAATCATCGTGGGCTTGCAAGGATTCCCATCGCTTTACCCTGTAAAGCATGAACAGCCAAAAATGTGCAACAGGATGCAAATCACCTCAGAACTTCTAGAGCCTGTTGAGGGGAGACTTTTGCTTTTCCACCGTGACGTACGTCAGCACCTCGCCGCCCAAAAGCTACCGCCGCGCGCATGTTTGCTGCGCTCCTGAGATGTACACCAAGGCGCCGCGCGCGATTTCGGGCCCTCTTCGTTGCTTCCTGGCAAGGACTGCCTCCCCTAGCGCGCTCCCAAGGTTCAGCTGCGTCGTTCGCTTCCTCGGAGGCCGCCAGGGACAAGGGGGCAGAGAGTTGGCTTGTTGGGCTGTTCGCGCTGGATTATGCGGCGCACACCACGCACCCACCAGCGCAGCGCGGCGCGTCGTGCCTCTGGGGCCGCCAGGGACGAGGGGGCAACGCGTGACCATCTCGCCCCCCGCCCCCCTTGTACAAGGTTAAACGTTTGCGCGACCGTGAACCAACATAACGAGCCTGCGCCGAAGAGTGCACCCCCGGACTGTGCCCAACCGTGTAACCTTGTACAAAGGGGGCAGGGGGCGCGGGGTACAAGGGGGGCGGGGGAATGCTCCAGATAGACGCCCGCGCAACTGCGGGACTAGCTCACGCCCCATCGCCCCTGGCTGGCGGCCGAGGCTGCCAGCGGGACGATGCGCCAGAAGGGGCGCCCTCCCAGGCTTCTGCGGCTTTCCCGGGAGATGTTCTCGGTTGGAGTTATCTCCTTGGCTTTCTTCGTGTGCGTGTGCTACCTATATCGGGCGCACTTCTGAGAGCTATAGGCGCGCAGGTTTAGCCCTTCCCGTTAATGGTGTCCCGGACTCTTAAAAAGGAGGGCGGGCCCCTGTCTGATGGTGTCGCCTGTCGTCTCGTTCCGTCTGTATCGGTAGCCGGTGAGATTGTAGAGGAGACAGGCACGCCGAGCCAGCGGCGAATCCGATAAGGGAACGGCGAAAGCACCCGAAAAGAGCCCGGAAAGACAGAGGCGAAACCGATAAGGAAACGCGAAAACGAGAGAGACCAACTGGCATCGCGATAGGCGGACCGGCGCCGCAAACTGTGAAGAAAAGTGGCAAAATATCGAAAACGGTCGAGGGGTGTACCTGTCCCGTAGCGGTTTCGCTTAAGAGTTTCGCGAGGACCTCCCCTTGCCCGGCGTTTAAAATTCTGGCCCTGCATAAGGAAAACCGCGCACAGCCTCCCAGGCTTTCCGAGGAGCTTGGAGGAGGCTCACCAATGAGCCTCGACCGGGCTGCCGCAAATGTGTCGGGGCGACTCCAGAGGCGCCCGCGGTCCCGAAGGAGTCCCTCGCCCGTTCTGGTTTTCTCTCTGTTCTGGCGGAAGTTTGGAGCCGTCTCGAAGTGTCTCCAAAATGACAGACGGACACGCCCCAGATGGGCCAAATTTGGACAATTTCGACCCCCCCCCGGCAAGGCCCTCAGCGGCTTCATTTCGTTGACGACCCCCCCCTGCTTAACGAAATCGAAACCAACTTCGGCCGCGTGTGGATTCTAGTCGCAAGAGCTCCCCGGCCCCGGGCGGGCTCCTGGGCTTGAAGCAGTCTAGCGCCCCGCTGGAGCGTTCTGAAAGACAAAGACGGGCAGCGCACTGCACTCGCCTCATAACCCACCGCCAGCCACCGCGCGGCGCCCTCGAATCTCGGGAGCGAACCAAGCACGAAGAAGACCGAGGGGGACACACTGCGCACGCAGTCCAGTGCAGCCCGCCACCAGCCACCGCCGCGCACCCTCGAATCTCCTGGAAGAGAGGGAAACGAGTGGGGAACAGAAGAGAAGACAAAGGCAACACAGGCGGGACCGCGTTGACCGTGTCAGCATTGAAGGACCACGCGCAGCCAAAGCCGCAGCACCCATCGCCGTACCATGCCCCGCCCAAGTCCCTCCCTTTGCCTCTCTTGTTCTTCTCCCCGCTTCGTTCTCGCTCCTCGGGATTCGAGGGTGCGCTGCGGTGGCTGCTGGCCGCGGGCTCCCTGCGGTTTAGAAAACACAAGAAAAAGAAGAGAGAAGAGCCGAGAAGACGCACGCGCAGCGCGTCGCAGCCTGCCCGGCTCCGGCCCCAGACTCAGCCTGCCCGGCTCCGGCCCCAGACTCAGCGCAAGCGGCAGGCCTGGCCCGGGTTTCGAGCATGCTGCGGGCTTCGGCCTCGCTTCGGGCTCCGGGCGTGCTTTGGGCGCGTCTGTTTGGTTTGAAGGCCGGGCGGGCTCCCGTCGGGTTTGGTCGGTTTGCGTTTGGGTTTGGTTTAGGCAAGCGCCTGGGCCGAGGCCTGGCGAGCTGGGCCCGGTGTGGGTTTGGTCTACGTTTTGCCTGGGTTTGGTTGGATTAAGTTCGGCCCACGGCTAAGCCTGGCCCGGGTCTGGGTTCGGTTTGGCCTGAGCCTGCTTCGGGTTTGTTCCCGGTTTGGGTTCGGGTTTGGGTTTGGTTTGGTTTGGGTCTGGTTTGGGTCTCGTTTGGGTCTGGTTTGGGTTTGGGTTTGGGTTTGGGTTTGGTTTGGGTTGGTCTGGGTTTGGTTTGGGTTTGGGTTTGGTTTGGGTTTGGGCTTGGGCTTGGTTGGGTTGGGTTGGGTTGGGTTGGGTTGGGTTGGGTTGGTTTGTTTGGGTTTGGTTTGGGTTTGGGTTTGGGTTTGGGTTTGGGTTTGGTTTTGGTTTTGGTTTTGGTTTTGGTTTTGGTTTGGTTTGGGTTTGGGTTTGGGTTTGGGTTTGGTTTGGGTTTGGTTTGGGTTTGGTTTGGGTTTGTGTTTCAGTTTGGCTTGCGTTTGGTTTGGGTTTGGTAGGTTTGAGCTTGGTTCGAGTTTGGTTCGGGTTTCGCTCGAGTTTGGTTTGGGTCTAGTTTGGGGAGGCTCGGATCAAACAGAGACAAGGAGCAAGGGCAACCCTATTCAGCTTCTGGCGACTTTGTAACTTGAAAGCAGCAGCCTGGGACCTGTTTGGGTTTGGGTTTGGTTTGTGTTTCTTTCAGTTTGGTTTGTGTTTCTTTCAGTTTGGTT